GAACCCCCCCCCCCCCCCCCCCACACACACACACACACACACACACACTCACAACCAGCCTTATAACTACCGTAAAGTTCCGAGAGAACGCCCGCCCCCGAGATGTCGCCCATTCCGATTTTCTCGCCAAATATTTGTAGGATAAAAATTCCGAACCATCGCCCACCCCCTTATTCCCATCGGACGCCACCCAATGTCCGATGGGAATCCCATAAACCGCGCAATTTGCTGTACCGGCACGTCAGACACGCTAGTTTATAGCGGATTCCCGCCTTTTTCTACGCGATCTGCTTGTGCCATCTCCAATTCCACGCGAGTTGGTCCCGCGTGTACTATATTGCATCGTGAAATATGATATTGCTGCGTTCTCGATCTGCGGTATTTGTTGCCGTAACATCCGAGTTTGTTGCGGATTCCTGCCCTTTTGTACGCGATCTGCACGTGCGATATCGGTTCCTGTAACCTGCAAGTTGGTAGCGGGGTCCCACGTGTTTATCGCAACGTGAAACGCGAATTTGCGGTGTCCGCAATCTGCGGTATCAGTTTCCGCGTCACGTAGTTTGTAGCCGGTATTTGATAAAGTTTTTCTGTGGCGTCCCCAAAGATAACCCACCCCATGTTTTTCACCATTTATCTCTTTATTTTGGGTGGGCGTTCTTTGGGAACTTTACGGTAACCATCACCCTGTCATGGAGGTCTCACACCCTGAAAAAGATTAATGGCTACACTACTGTGTTACTTCATTTCAGGATTTCACCAAATAGTGGAGGCCAGTGCATAATATGTCACTAAATTTTGTCACTACTTTCTGACAGTTGTCATATTTCTGGAATTTTCTCTGACTCTTTCTCACTAATCTGGTTGACTCAGTCTGGCATACTCTCACATATATAGATTTATATGTAGAGCAGCCACATGCACTCTGGCACCATAGAAAATAATCAAATAAAATTAAAAGATTGTTGCAAAACCCGGAGCAGAGTAAATGGCTGCATGGCTCGGCGGTCGGGAATGATACAATAAGCAGGCTTTCCCATACGAAGCTGTAGCTATCAAAAAAAACAAAAAAACACACTACCCAAAAGAAAAAAAAAAAAAAGTTGATTTTGAAAAATAAAATTTTTACATCCACCAACATCTAGAGTATTCCCAGAAAGTTTTATTAGTTTATACTGCATAGTTAATTTTTTATAAATTACTTTCTGTCCATTGATGCTAAAGAAAAGGGAGGTGTTGGAGCACTTTGAATGCATTGTTCTCCGTTCCACTTTTTGGCATAAATTTCACTTACGGAAAACTATCATTTGTTAATGGGACAAAAGGAAAGACTCACTCATCGCTTTTCCTAACTGGAATTTTATGGGCAATGCAACTGTGAAATTGTTTTTTGACTTTGTAGATGTCTTTTATAAAAGATGTTAAGATTTTGTCGACGACGTCATAAAAGGCAAAACATTGGTTTGATTTTCCATTGCAATGTTAGCATAAAATAAATTACTTTTAAGAAATTTTGCTTTGCCACAATTGCACTCTCCAGGCATTCTGCTGCACATCTAGTGAAGAAAAACATTGGGTATTACATAAGTTTTCTAACAATAGTTTTTTAAAACAAAGTGAGTGTGTTCCCGATAGAAACAACTATAATTTCTTTTACAAGTCATGTACACAGATGAAGCTTTGCACTGCACTCTGCATCACAACTGCCAGTGTATGCTGTAAATTTAATTCATGTTAAGCCAAAGCAGGCCAAAGGTTCAAAAGTTGACCTTCTGAAGTAAGGTCCCCCCTTAGAAAATTTAATTTTCTTTATATTTTGTAGAGTTGTCATACTTCTCCTGCCTCAATTGATGTCTGCAAGCTGATGTTGCAGTTTGGCTTACACAAATCAAATGCATAGCCCTGGTATTTTGCTAAAAAAGTTATATATTTGATCCTACTATAAACCTTTACTGACAAGGATTTATTTCATTTGACGTAAAACACACCACATGAACAATGCAGTCTTCTGAACTTAAGTTCTTTAAAAAAACCTATGTCAGAAACAAAAATATTGCAAAGTTCCAGTGACCAGCATATTGGTGGGAGTTTACTGCCAGAAATTTCATGGCCACCTCCTCTATACTCGGCGACAACTTTTCTTGGCAATGCAGTGGAGGGTACAGGCACGTGTTTTCTATCCAATTTTGAGTGCTGCATAAGGCTGTGCGTGGGCTATTGTCAACTTCCTCTGCATTGCCAAGAAAAGTTGTCGCCGAGTAGTAGTAGGCTCCGGAATTATATTTGGATGGGAACAGGAAATAATTCAAATAAAATAAAAAGCTTTGAATAAAAAAAAACAGAAAAACTCAAGCCTTGTAATTTTGACTGAATACTCGCTTACAAAAAGAAGTCCTTGATTTTGGCTTGTTTCCACTGATGCAGAATTTCAAACGTAAGCATACCCTTAAAGGGGCCCTGCAATCATATTTAAGTGTCTAACTTTTTTGCGGTTTCCACATTTTTTTGGGTTCGGGCAAGCCAGCAGGCACTGAGAGAGTAACTAAATATCAGTGCATCATATTTTAACCGGACGACGCGGAAACCTCCTCCACCAAGGGGGCGACCCGCAGTACTGAAAGTGCGCGATATGTGACGTCTTTGGTCCTGGGCTTACTACTGGTCAGAGCCCCTAAAAGCTTCTTTTTAGTCGAAATACAAAATATAAGTGGCGCGAACCGTTTCAATTATCTATAAAAGTAGTTTTTGTTCAGTATTTTAGATCATGAAAAGAAACAAATGCAGTTTATAAAGTACGGAAAACAGAAATGACCCGTGGACATACCTGCCACCAAGCGGCGGAAAAACGGCGCATACTAGAAAAGAAAAGTGGGATCAGGCTCCGACGAGCAGCTCTGCAGTCGTTTACGGATTCGAGGATCCGACCGGTTCCGAGTGTTTCGAAGGTCTTCGGTGCAGGTTTGGCTTGCTGTTTGGCCATTTCGCGGTATGGCAGCGCGAAGTGGCTCCCTTTCTGAACTGATATTTACCCCGTGTTTGCTGTCGTTTGTGGCCAATGAAGTGTCATGCCGAATTAGTGTTTAATCACGCAGAAAATGCGATGAGAGCTGCCCTGTCTTCATACAGCCTATCCAGAATATGCTTTAGTGGCACTCTCTGGAGCTGTCGACACGAAGTGCGTCAGCCGTGAGCGCCCGCTGAGATCACTACCTTTCCTCTAGTTCACGGCCACTTGAGCAACCAAGGACGTCGTGACGGAGGTTATTTTTTGCTTGTTTTTGTAATTTTAATTTGCCTATATTTTTTAAAATAAAGCGAAATTCGAGAAAAAAATGTTTCAATAAGTTACTATGTTTAGTGCGCTCAGGTTCGGTGCAAATTAAAAACCACTAAGAAAAGTCATTGCAGGGCCCTTTTAGGGGAGAACCTGGTTTTTAACAATTTCCTGTCATTTCTAATCTAATTTATGTTACATTTTCACATCTATTCTTAAGTTTTGTGCTAAGCACAAACCTAAGCTGAATATTTTCTATCTTTTATAGTTTTCAAGGAAATCTCAACTTTATCACAAATGTTTTTGCCTTACTTTAAAAATAAAATCCTATAAAAGAAGACGACACAAACTATGTCACCATTTTCTACAAACAGCAGAGAATGCAATAAAGCAAGTGCTTTAATTTTAGCATTATTAAGAAAAAAGGTTATCACAAGTTGAATTTCTTTTTTTTTTTCTGATAATCAGAAATGACTTATTAAAGTCTGTGCCAATTAAAACATTTTGTAGCAAAAATTTCTCACAAATAGTAGTCTTGTTGCACTCTCTGATATATAAGTCATTAAACCCTGAAAAAAGTATTCAGGTTCAAGTTCTAGAATCAGATACCGTGGGCAAAACTTTGTCTTGTGACAAAAAAAAAATTAATTCTGAGAAAATAGGGAAAGCTTTTCAAAACATGCTTACAAACACCCTGGATATAAAACTTTGAATCAATGTAACCATATAAAAGTGGACTTCCCGAGTGTAATGCCTTACAATGGATTTGTGAGTTATCAATAAAAAGAAAGGTAAAAAAAAAGTTTTTTTTGTTATTATTTTTGTGTTTGAAGACCAGGGTCTCCCCTTAAATAACAAACATACCTGAGACTCGTCAGCCGAATCTCTGCCAAAGGAACAATGACCAACATAGTTTACATATTAGTGGCACAAGGTGCAGGAAGCGATCCTACAGGTACTGAGTAGTCATTTCCTTGCTCTGGATTACCTAACTAAAGTAGTGTAGGTAGGCCTATAACCACTTGTATTTACTGAATAAAACATCCCCCAGGGCTAGACAATTTTTCAGGCCCAACTGCTTGCTGCATTTGCATGCTGGACTATCATTGCCTCATTGCTGTGTGCATGGCTGCAATAATAAATCAAAGTGTAGATGGATTCGTGCTTGGCGTGACCGACACATTTGTGGAGTCTTTTGTGCTCTTGGAGCCTCTAGACTTGTGAAGTGCACAAAACAAAATCTTTCGAATAAAACAGGTTCAGAGGTTAGCCTTTTAAATACTCCAAGGCATTTTTTACGGCATAGTATATGTCTGAAATCACACCCATACTCAAGCTAACCAAAAGTTTGAATAAAATGGCTTTGAATTACCAAAAGCCGACTGTTTATATTGCGGCTGCTTAGCTGAGTAAGTCACCTGATGGGTCTGTCGGCTGATGTTGCTTCCACACAAAGTAGCACTACATCTGGAGAGGTCACGAACGAGTTTCTTGTGAGAGTCTACACACACACACCTTCTGCAGATTTCTGCAACTATTCTAAAATCACTAGATTATCTGGAAGCGCATGAATCATCTGTAAGTGTCCACACATAAATTTTGGAACAAGGAAGGGGAGGGAATTGAAATATAGGTGAGGGATGTTACTCTGATGTCACGATCAGAGCCACCAATAGGTAGGAAGCTGGAACTTTGCAACTCGTCCGTACGAGTGGCTGACCGCACTCACTGTGGCATTCATGGATGTTGCAGTCTCGCTGCTCTCTAGAGGGGCCCTGGCATTCGGCGCCTTTGCCGGAGGGTCTGGGGCTGTCGCACAGCCGCTCACGGAGCTGGACGCCACCCCCACAGGGTACCGAGCACTGGGACCATTCTCCCCACTCTGACCAGTCACCATCGATGTTGCTCAGGTACGCTGCAACAGGCACGCAGGTTAAGGCGTGTCTTGAGGACATGTGCTGGCTCATCACGTCGAGCTCTTTTCTGCAGTCATATACAAATGCTCAAAATGGCTCATAAGTTTGTGGCCTTCTTGCACAGATATATGAGACATTTATGTCTGTGTTGGTTCCTGCACCTTTTCGTGAGCTCGCCAGACCCTTCCAGTGCACACAACCTTACACCCATGGTAGATAGATGTTTAGAGTATGCAGCACATTATGACACAATTCAATCAGAAAGAGAAACAAAACTGAAAATAAAGTTTTCTCCAACTTGTGCTAGTGGAGGCTTGTAGTAAACTGAGTGATGGCCAGCACGTGCACAATGTTTCACCTGCTGTTAAAATTCATGCTCTTATTTGTTACGAGCAAATTGCCTTGGTCTTGAAGTTCTTTGCAATTACCTATGCTAAATTGGCACTAGCTCGTTTGTGCTCTTATTTTTTGTTAGCGAAGATCAAGGGTCCAATTTTGGTCGCCACGAGAGCGAGAGCAAGAGCAAGATCTAGTTTGTCTCCCGTGTCTTAAGAAAAAAAAACACCGTACATCGTCTGCTTACAAATCAGAGAAACAAGCTCATTGTCTGCTACAAGCCGAGCGCCGCGGCAAGGTGAGATCGTACACAAGACGAAATTGTAATCGTCCGCTGTCTCATGCCAAGAGCCATTGGCAACTCGCACTTCACTTGCACATAGTTGTTCCGCTGGCATACACAAGCCGACATAGACCTGTGAACGAAGGAGTACTAAGGGCGAGCACATAAGAGGACGTGAAACCTCTCCCGCTATTTGTAAGTTGGCGAGTCGTTCTCACCAAAATATTGCGAGATTCTGAACTCGCAAACGGGCCAAAAATGTCTGAATGGTTGATTGTGCACAAGCTGCGGTGCCGTGCTCAATCAGACGCCGAAAACACTCTTGCTCTCACCTTGACCAAAACCGGACCTCACATTGGGATTCTGGGGCATATTGATGAGGAGATGTTTCGGCCGTGTACTCTTAGGCCGCGGCCACAGCCCACACTGGTATCATTCAAAAACAGGCTGCAGACACGTGTAAAGCGTACATTTATGCATGGCACAAACACGCTTCCAAGTTGCTCGAGGAGTTTCTGCAGACAGTTCTGTCACTATGTCCTCTGCGAATACCGGGTCCTTTGTATAACGCGTGACCAGTGCATCTAAGGCTTTATGGTTCCTGTTTGTGACAAGGATTATCAAATGCGAACGACAGGCTCTATGGTACGTGTAGCGAGCACGGTGGAAGTTCGGAGCCACGCTGTTCATAAAACCAACGTTTTCAAAGTTGACGGACTGATGTTACTCTTACTTCTGTCGACGAAAGCGCGAGATCATGATGTATATATTCCTTTAGTAAATATGTTTTCTAACTCACTCGGAGTAATGATATGACCCAAGGACTCCGATGCTTGGCCAATTGTGGTTGCTCATGTAAAAAAAAGTTGCATAACCTCCTCTCCCTGCCTGGAAAAATAGAATTTGCCCACCCTCAAAAAAGTTTCTGCGGGTGCCCACGGGTAGTTCTACTAATGCTGAAATACAATCTCAAATAGTGGTACCAGCATCGGTGAGACCTGAACTCGTTACAAGTTTCTAGCAACCCATTTATCGATTTCTCCCCTCGCAATTGCGTCCTCCCCTTGGCAACGAGCCTGACTGACCGGCGTCCATGCAGCTCTTGGATGTCTCGTGGCAGTAGCGCTCCTCCTTCTTGATGCTGCCCATGTGCAACAGGTTGTCGTCTGCCACATTGGCACGGCAAGTGAAGCGGAAGCGCTGCTCGAAGTGGCCCTCCCGGGTGGCATTCACCCGCATCCAGCTGGTCCAGTTGGATGAGCGGCGCTTCTCCGAGCAGGCATGGGTGTTGCAGGCCCGGTAGTCGCTCTCACAGCCACCCCCGCAGCCGTCCCGGCCCTTGGGCGAGTGGCACTGTCGCCGGCGCCACTGGAACCCACCCCCGCACTGGGCGCTGCACTCGCTCCACGCACCCCACTCGGACCAGCTGCTCTGTCGCGTCACTGCCGGGGTGGTCGGTACTGCATGCAAGGTGGCGTGCCATTCACTACGTGCTGCCATCAATTGTCCTCGTGGGGTGAAGGCTGTTTTCACCGATGCGCGTCACCCGTCCCAAATAAATTTAACTATGTAGCATTCATAGAGCCAGCTCTAGTGCCTGGGACTTAGCGACGAGCGGGGCACACAGTTATGTGATTTGTACAAGTCGCTGGATCGGCCGAAATGGCTTGTACGATTTGCCGCAATCCACTGCAAGGTGTGAAAAAAAAAAAAATATTATGATTAAAAAATATTGTAGAGCTTTTTTATTTTACAAGAAAGATGGAGGACCAGCAAAGCTGTTATATTTACGACGTTTAGGATGATGCCTAGAGGACGTCTAGGACGACCTCTAGGACAACGTCTAGGACGGCTTCGAGGACGACCTCTCCAACGACCTCAAAGACGACCTCTAGAACGACCTCTCGGACAATGCCTAGAGGATGACCTCTCAAACGACATCAAGGACAACAACTTCTAGGACAACTTCGAAGACGACGTCTAATACGACCTGAAGGACGATTTCGAGGACGACGCCTAGGACGACCTCGAGAGATGATAACAGGGGATAATGACCTCGCTATCTAATAATGCCAAGGAAGGCTGACTCACGCTGGTTGCACCCTCTTTTTGTTTTTATTCATTCATACTTGACCCCTCCTTTTGTTTTTATTTATTCATACTTCCCTTGACTTCCCTTCCCTTCCCTTTCCTTGTCGGCATGTGAGGATGGATTTTTTCCCAGACCCTAGTGTATAACAGCTTCACTGTAAAAAGAAGTGATTTAAATCACTGTAGCCAGAAAAGAGTGATTCTGTACAACTAGATGTATTTTTCAACATGGCAGACTGATTGATCAATTCGTTTGATAACACAATGCAGAAGAATTGCTGTAAATGTAAAGTACAGTTCAATTAACTCATTTTTATTGCTGTAAGCCCTGCCATAATAGAACAAAAACAGCTTGAATCTTTTTAATTAGGAAAACTGATTTTTTTTTTTTTTTTTTAGAGTTCTGACTTGATCGCATTAGATACATTACTTTTCTAGTTCTCCTTTCTTTTGCGATCTGATTTTGAGGCAATAGGACGTTACATAGCTGGAGAACGAGGTGAAATCATGCTCATTGCTCCGATTTTCTCGGAAAAGCACTTCTGTTCGCTCGTGTTCAGCCTTATATAAGTCTTTCCTGCTTTATGACTCTCTGATATAAATACAAAACAAATGCACATAACAAGCATAAAATGACGTACAGTAAATATAAAAAAATATTTTCGGGATTATTCTTGTAGGAAAGGTTTGATCTAAATCATCATAGTTAAACTGGCCTGATTTAAATCATGATTTAAATAACGATTTAAATCCTCTCGATTTTTTTTCTCCACATTGGAAAGGGAGTACTATAGAGCAGGGGTTCTCAAACTTTTCGGTTTCATGCTGTGCTTTAAGTCTCCCATAGGTTGAGGGGGGTCCCTACAAGAAGGTAGGGGAGGAGGGGGGGGAAGGGCCTTCTGACGAGATGTACTAGATGCACATAAAATAAATCCCACAGCTGACTCTACCTACGCTGTACCTGCTACCCTCAAATTGCTAATGCCCAAATGTCACATCCCTGAAAACAAGCTATTTTATTGCAAGATATGATTTTGCTTTCACTAATGCTGGGGCTGTGGAGGAGGGTCTCAGACCATCCTTTAAAATCAGTGCGGGGTCTGAGACCCCCCAAGCTTTAAGCCCTGGTTCCATGGAACCCCAGGAAGCCTCAAAAATTGCTTGAAACCCCCCCCCCCCCCCCCCCCCTCCTCCCCCCATATTTGCTGACCAAGAAGTAATGCAAGCACAATCGTAGGCAATTTTGCTTGTGTTGCTTGTCATATATCTCCACCATATCAATCAATCGCAATGTCAGTGCAAAGTGAGATGAGGGCGCTTTGCATGGTGCTGCCGTGCAACCCACAGCTAAGGGGGGGGGGGGGGGGGGGGGGAGGGAGGGGTTTCATTTTCGTTGTTTGTGGTACCCATGAGACCAGCTCACGGAACCCAGTTTGAGAATCCCTGCAGCATTATCTTCCTCTCTTCCCCCTCCCCCAACTCACACACCCCACCCTCCAAGTTCTTTCACTCCGCTCTTTTTAACTAAAAACTAGCCTGCTGGAACAGACGAGCATACTTTCCATGCCTTGTCCCACCACCGTTGCATTCCATTGAGCGAAAAAGATTGGGCCCTACAGTATGAAGATCGAGTGTGCCTACCGGGACAGGGTGGGTTGGAGCTGCAGTAGATCTGCTCCTGCTCGGGCCCCAGGCAGACTCGGCCTCCGTGCTTGGGCTTGGGGTTGCTGCACGTCCTGCGGCGGGACTTGACTGCTATGCCGCAGCTCTGGGAGCAGGCCGACCAGGCAGACCACTCTGTCCATTGCCCATTCTCTGTTGGGGGCAACACCACGCTGAAGGTTGGGAGATGGCACACGGATTGAGTTGCACAGTTCAACTCTTTTATGCGAGACTAAATTTACTCCCACCTGAAATGGAGCACAACCTGCACCCTCTATTGTAGGCAACTGGCGTGCCATTGAAAAAACCCACCTGGTCTTTTTCAATCCTGGGACCTCTCTGAGACAGCAAAGCAGTCAGTGAAGTAAACAAACATTAGGGGAGGACACTACCTGGGAATGTCAACTTTTGAACCGCTCACTCGATTGGCGTGATATTTGCAGGTGGTGTTTGCAGCCATACAAAAAGAGGGCATGAAAATACCCCCAGAACATGCGATTTGCTCAATGAATCTATCGTTGAGGAATGGTGTTGATAATTAAATATTTTTGTGGTGGAATGCATGCTGGAATACCTGTTGCCAGTTGCTATGAAAAGAAATATCAGAAAATGCACATTTTCTAGGTAAAAAAATTTATGTAATTTTTTTTTCTGATGTTTACCAGGTTTTGCAAATTACAATTTTTCATAATAAAGGAACATGAAAATGCAAAATCTAAGTTTATAATAACAAACTTCATAAAATTCAGGCATACAAGCTGCAAATTTCAGTATGAAAGTTTCTCGAAACTTTCATACTGAAACGAATTATATTAAGGTGGGATTTGCTGCCAAAACCCTGAATTAAGAAAAACGTGTACAAAGTGCTTGGACTTTGTACACCTTTTCTTTAGCATTGGTGGACCGAAAATAATTTATAAAAAAATAACTATGCTGTGTAACAAATTAAACTTTCTGTGAAAACTCTCAGATGTTGGTGGATGTAAATATGGCATTTTTCACAATGAATGTTTTTTGCAGAAATTTTTTTTCTGGGTAGTTTCGCCAGACTTAATCGTGCAAACCATAGGGGTAAGCAGCACCAGACGTTTGATGATTAGATGTAATGGTTTTGGGAAGTCCCAGGTTGTAGAAGATTTACACGAGTATAAATTGACTTCAACCTGAAAAGAAGCACAACTCATTTGACTTCCAACTGAAATGAAGCGCAACTCATGCCCTCCCCCGTTTATGGCAAACTCCGTTGGACGCACAATTAATTCAGTCTGTCAGGTAGTCCGTTACATAGAAACCCGCCTATAACAAATTTCAAAGCCACATATTCCTAATACACAATTTTGATGTTGGGTGTACAGTACACTCATTAATAAGTCCTTCTGTGGACAGCGAAACAAAAAAAAATGGTTGATCTGAAAACATAAAATTCGGCAGAGACACCTAAGACTGCTTATGTGTGGGAATCCGAAAGCATTATACTAGTCCCTTTGATGAAATGTTTTAGATTGATGTTTCTTTGTGTCCCTGCCAAAACACAAAGAAGACGTAACCCACAACATCAACCTCAACGAAGCGTCCATTCTGTGCCTCAAAAAAACGTGGATGAATCCGAACGACAGCAGAGAGATCCCGGGGTACCACTTCGTAAGCAGTGCACACAGACCAGGAAACACTGCGGCAGGAGTTGCCATCTACGCCAAACCCAACGCCCAACTCGCAGAGTGGTATGATCATGGCAAAATGTGTGCCTTGTCGCTGCCAAGTGGACTCATCATAGTATGCGTCTGCCTGGCACCAAACACATCTGAATACAACAATGCACCGTTTGTCATGCGCAATATACGTCAGGACACCAGATCGAAATCACTCAAACATGACTCACGCACCAGGCGCACCTCTAGTCAGCCAGAACCATGGAGCCGTCGTGGTGTCGGGGAAGCATGCTCGTCTCGTACCCCGGGGGCCCGGGATCGATTCCAACCCAGACAGAAATGTACCGAATTTTATTTTCAAAGCCATTAATTTACTTTGTTTACAAGAACCTTCCTGAGAAATTCGACGTCAATCCGAGCATTTTTGACATATTTTTACTCTGCGCTGTGGGTTATTTTTGGTCCCATCGCTCAATCACGCCGACGCCGAATTTTCGCGTAATGGGACATATAATGCTTTCACATTAATGTTGGTATAAAACTCTATGCAGGTTAATATGTAGATGAAATAGTCAAAGGCTTGCACGACTGTTCATTCCGTGAGGATGTACACGAGATTGAAGCACCCAGACTAGAGCGAAAAAAATAGAAAGTGTTTGATCTTTTATCTGTTTAGGATGCTCTGTGAAAGGCACGCCGATCGGGGGTGATCCCAAAGTGCCCGTCTATATGTGTGCTCATCTGTCTGTGTTAGAACCATAGTCTGCACTATGTCAAGCATGTTCTTGAAAGAGATGCAATTTTCTTTCTTCTGGCTTGAGACTCCAAATGAAACTAGCAGACCCGCACAGAATCGCACCGCACACTTCGCACAAATGAAAGCGCCACTTGTGCCACCACTTGGGGAGCTAGAGAGTCCTTTCCCACTGGGTACCCCCTGATGGCACATGTGGGTGCCAGCCGCCTCCCATCCAGCCACGAATGGGCGGAAGTTTGTGCCCCTTTTCTGTGTTCCTCGTCACAAGGTACTTCCACATTGTTAGAGGAGGGAAATGGTTGCCATTTCCACGAGAAGGGGGTTAGCACACGAAAGTCAAACAAAAATTAAAGCTACCAACGAATGAAGCAGACGACGCACGCACTGATCTCGGCCTCTAGGCGGAAATCACTTGGCGAGGAGGAAAGGAAACAAACCTCAGAATAACATGGGCTACCGATTGTGCAGGAAAGAAAAATAAAATGGTGGGAAACCTGCATTGAATTATTCGAACCGCACATCTTGACCTTGTTTTTTCATTGCATCTTTCTCTTTTTTTCTGTCTACGTTTCCCTGTCCCCACTCTTTTCGTTTGGTGTTGCTCTTTGCGAGTTTTTTTTTCTCCCTTTTTGAAAATGAAACAGGTGTTTGAGCGTTTTTGAGGGTTGCACATTCTGATCGAGCTCAGTGTAGCCGACTTGTTTTTTTTTATAAAAATATTACATGCATTTTTGTAAGAAATATATACGTTTCATATAAAGGATAATTCACTGTATTCGGGTGAACATGGCTCGAAGGGCTCGACGATAGTACATTAGTGAGCACAAAACGATTTTGGATAACTCGAGGCCCCAATTCTACGGTCTCAACACTATTAAGATTGCTATGTGTAAACTAATGCTCTCCATCGCCCGCCCATGCCAACAGCAGTAGGCTGCTCAAACGGGACTTTTTGGAGGAGCGAGTTGATTGCAAATCTGTTCGGCAGACTGCAGTCTTAACGAGTGTGGCATTTGCAAAAATGCATGTGATCAGAGGAGAAAAGTGCGTACACATTTTGTTTTTGGCATTAACAATCTTGCTTTAAAGGTGTTAAAATGCTCTCTACAATGCAGCATGTACCAACACATATATGAAAGTGACCAGATGCTGAAGACTGTGTTTGCTTTGAGGGTGCATAGAGGCTTCTCCATGCACAGTGAAAGCCAGAAGAGGCTTCCTCAATCACTGTGTCTGAGTTCCTAGGAGGGAGCTGCATAGTGACAGGAATCCTGGGAGTCCAAGAGCATATCCAGAGGATGGATGACACTCTGCGAAACACACACATATTCCAACGTTTCTGGTTCTAGGAAGGGACTCACGTGTGCAGTTGGTGACTTCCAGTGAAGATCCCTCGCAGGGCTTCCCACCGTTGAGCGGCGCTGGGCTGTCGCACGCTCTGGAGCGGCACAGGCAGCGGTCTCCCATTGGGTCTTTGCCAACCTGGTCGCACTCCTGCCAGCTGTTCCAGCCACTCCAACCTCCATCCACTGAAGACAAGACAGGGGGATGACAATATGTTAACAATGCTACCGAGAATTCATGACTTTGACCTTGCATTACATTTGTTAGTATACTTACGAAGCCTCGATGACCGACTCACATAAGAAGTCGTTGGAAGATGTTAGACAGAAGAAAGAACAGAGTGAAGATTATCGGAAATGCCACCAAGAATCCATTAACTTGATCTTTCTTAGATTTTTTTTGTGTGGTACTACTTGCAAGTACTTTAATGACCAATAAAAACATACAGTCATTAGAAGGTGCTAATGATTTCTTACTGTATTTTTTAGAATTCTAAAGCCATTGAAAGCCAGCATGGTTGTAGTAACAGGTGCATAGGTACATTCTCTACCGTGTTTAGTGAAATTGGGCTAATTTTTAACAGGTAAAACATTTGTACGGAGGGGAAAGTTCCTAAGATGTTGGTTACAGTTGCACGAACCTCATGACTGTACCAGGGGTGGATCCAGAACTCCGTTTTGGGGGAGGGGGGGGGGGGGGAATTTGTAAGGATACTATTGTCCCATTCTTTCGTGGGCACCAGGGGGTCCACCCATGTCAAATTGCCCTCTGAGAAGGGGGGGGGGGCGGCGACCGCCCCCCCCTTGGATCTGCCCCTGGACTGTACAGCCTTTGAAGGTCACCTTTGCAAATGCCATCATCCTCATTAGGGGCGGATGCAGGTGTTTCCAGAGAGGGGGGTCAGCATATCAGATATCTGAGAATGCCCCCCCACCCCGTTCCCCCCCTAACTTTTACACGTGTAGAATTCAAGGGGGGTCAGAACATCCCAACCCCGCCCCCCACCCCCCTCTAAATCTGCCAACGATCCTCATGCTTTTGCCATTGCTTTATGGAATCCCAATGTATATTCCTGCCATGCTAGGAACTTAGGGTGCCTTCGTACATGCACACCGTTTCCAGGTACACCTTGTAGAGTCCAAGCGGCGGAGGAAAGCTCACTGGAGGAAAGCTTACTGGAGGAAAGCTCATCAGAGAAAAGCTCACAGCAAAACTGGCAGATGTGGAGAAAAACTCACATACAAATTTCTGATTCCAGCATTTACTAAGCTGAAAACATTCCCTCATCTGAAGTTGTTTGGATGCTACATGTGCATGTAGTAATTCTGCAGATAACTATCAGATAAGATAATTTTTAGGTATACCACATGCACACCCAGGGTGGTGGTATGATGGAAATAAAATGAAGACTTTCCATTTGGAACGCTAATTAAAAGATATAGTTTGAGTAAAATATAACATGTGTAATAGGCTGCAGCTTGAGTAGTCCCAAGATTTTAATGCTATATTGAATTAACTTTCCTGTAGAAGCAGGCACTGCATAAGCTATGCCAAATCTTCACATTTCACCACTTGTTTAGGAAGGTAAACTTTCAATTTTATGTCCTTCTAACTGGAAAATAAAATTACAGGACGATACTCAGACTGCTTACGTGTAGGAAGGCGAAAGCATGCATTATAGTCCCGCGGGAGAAATATTTTCGAGTAATGTTTCTACATGAATTAAAGTTTTGGACGACGTCGAGGCCGGTGTCAAGGATGCCGATGCTGAGGACAATCTCTCGGACGACATATAGGACGACGTCAAGAACGGTGTCTAGGATGACGTCGAGGATGACGTCCTAGGACGACGTCGAGGATGACGCCCTAGGACAACGTCAAGAATGACGTCTAAGACGACTTCTAGGACGACCTCTAGGACTACCTTAAGGAGGACAATGTCTAGGATGACGTCGAGAATGACGCCTAGAAGAGGACACTTAAGGAGCCTGTGGCGTATTTGCTTGGATGGCCACGTTTGCCTGTGGAAGCTGTCGTGGATGTAGATGCTGCTGCCGATGTCAAGGTCGTAGATGTAGACGCGGTCACATCACAGTCCATTGTACGAAGCACACAACGAGCACAGATGAAGTCGGAAGCGCACCTTTTGTACACGGCGCTCCAGCAGTGACATCATGCTCTTGCATTTGAGCGTGAGCGGTAGGCGCCTGATGACATATTTTTATGGCCATCCTTCAAACACAACAACGCCGCTTTTTCGCGTAATGGGACAAGGATGGTCATCCTAAAGGTCTAGACCTCTAGGACGACCTCAAGGACGCCGCTAAGGACAGCAATGTCCTTGAGCATACGACTGAGCGGCATGTGCCACTCATATACACCATTTTTTCGCTCAATGGGATAAGGTTTTCGCCTTAAAAAAGCAAAAAATTTGAGGGTTTTACGTGCTAACCCAACTACGGGCATCTGGCACACCCCAGCGGAGGACTGAAGGTTAATCTGAACCACCTGGAGATCTTTTGAGGTGCAACCGAAAGTTCGGTTAGACTTCATTCACACAGCCGGCTCCCTGCCCCATCCCGGCGAAAGCGCTGTCGGCGCCATGCCGGAATCGGGACGGTGCGGGGACGGTGAAATGTTCGAACCAGAGGCGATGGAGCTGCCGGTGGTGGCTACATGAATGGATGGATGCTGGTGGCTGTGCCCTCCATATTGGGTGGTACATAGCTTGCGCCACCAAGCCTAGAAACCTTTCTGCATTTTTCGAATCCTGCGTCAAACTTTTTTATGTTGTAAGACTGTATAATTGGTGTAACCCATTAATTTTGTGCGCAATTTCACACTTCCCTTGATCTCTACCACCAATCTTGTAACCCCCTCTTGACTACTTTGTGGCGGTGTCGATCACCAAATGTAGCGGACAATCGGCGTCGATGGCACCGCCACAGCTGTTTTGTTTCTTTGAGCTTGCGCTTAAATCGGCGATAATGACCTTGCATGTTTAAAACATTTTATTTGTTTACGTTTTGAAACAAAAATGACAAGACCCACTGTGAGCACGTTTCACATCAATCCCTCTTAACGCCATATTTCCTCCCGGATGATCGACTATGGTATTTTCTTGCTTTGGCTGTTCTTTCTTAAATTTGTGTTTATGTCTATCGCAAAAGAACCGATGTGGTCTCACCATTTCGAGCAGCACGTAAATCTAAATTTCTGTATGCCCATTGTTTAAGAGCCGTAAACATCACACAACGCGCCTGTCGTCCCACTTTTTCCCAAAAAGAGCTTCGTCGTTGGGGCCAAGTACGGTCAACCCCATATCTCGTGGCCGTGCCCATGGTCACCCAACTTTTGAGAATCCGCCAGATTGAGTGAAAGTTTCCCATTTTGGGATTGGTGTTCCCCCAGTGGGGCGAGACTCCGGCGTCCCTTTTTCCCAGTCAGCATCGGAAACATAGAACACTGTCTTTTGGCCCACTTCAGGTCCGGCGGTGCGACTTGGGTCCCAAACCTGTCCGAAAACCCTCACCCCCGGCGGGAACGCCGCCCGGCGCTCTTGCCGGGATGGAGGAAAAAACGGCTGTGTGAATGAGGCCTTACACGGCGCCTCCGTCAGACTGCGGGCACCTCGGCCGGGATTCGAACGGGCCACCTGAGGATCTGTAGGCTGGCGCTTTGCCCCGGAGCCGCCGAGGTAACTATTTCGCCTTAAAAATAAAAGTTGAAACTGCCTTCATTGCAGCTATGTCGCAATTAAATATGGCAACAGTAGTGTGAAAAGTTTGACACGAAAGTGGAACGAGGGCTGGAGTACAGCGCCAAGCTTTGAAGTGCGTGCCTCCTGTGTGAGAAGTGCCCATAGATTTAGTTCCACTAAATGTCTAAATTTATAATGACCACCTTGCAAAAAAAATTTGAATTCAAAGTGAGCTTTTCTCTGGGTCTGTCAAAAAACGGGTGAGCCTTCTTCCGGTGAGCATTTTCCCACAAGTTTAATTCTTGTGAGCTTTTCTCTGGGATCAGAAGTGTTCTATGCAGGTATACCTAGCTCTGTGGCTAATGCCTTTGCAGCTATTTACTCGGCACAGGTTGGTGACACTCGAGGTAACAGAGGAGGCCTGTCTTTCAAAACAGATGGCTATAAAAAAGACGATCGAGACACCTTGCGGCAATTCATTGGGGCAGCCACCTGGTGTGGGTTGCCAGCAGAACAGAAAAATCTGCCAAGGATTAGGAGAAAGGACGTAAGGCCCAAGATCATCTCGAAGGATGGTGTCTCACCAGGAACATTGCTTTCTGGACACGCTGTCTGGTCCTGCTTCCAGACTGTGCTGAGTGGATTGCGCTGTGGGGCAGTGGTACAAGACAGCTGGTGCTTGTTCCACCCACAGTAAGGATCCATGGATCCTAGGCAGGACCTAGATGACAAACAAAGATTATCTTTACCCAATGAAATCAGCCCCCTGCACCAGTGGTCAGATCTGCACTGCTGGGATTTTTGCTCAAGTGTCATCCTCTGGCCATGTAGGGCAGTTTTTTTCTCCTTTCAATCACTGTAAGACATTGGCCAAAGGCAATGTTGTTCTTCTCAGTTAAAGTAAGTTAGGATGAACTTTGTTTAAAAGCCCTCCAATTCAGTCCTCCCGATGAACTGGGTTTAAAAACCCTCCAATCCATGGGTTTTTAAAAGTGGGTTCGTTTATGAACCCAGGGGCTCCCCAGCTTCAGCGCTCGGGGAACCCAAGCCCCCAAATTTCCTCGATCACCCCTACCCCAGGTGGTGCTGGTGCATTTACCCAATTCAACCCATTTATACCAAACTATGAGCCACATACTATGCATTAACTACAAACCACATGCTGGCAATTTGGCAAGCAACGAGACAAGTGATGGCGACCCGCTTTGCTGTTGCTCGGTCAGTTGCGCGACGAGGCAAACCGGATGAAAGTGATGGCAGCAAGCGACCACGGTGATGAGTGACGTTTTCTAGAAATCCAGAAACCGAGCGAAGCGATGAGTGACTGTAAGAAATCTCTGTCGCTCGTCGCCGTCGCCTTCTCTCGTCTCATCGCTCGCTAAATCGCCTTCATGCAGTTCAGCCTTTATTGTGTACATGGTCTTTAGTAGGGATGCCGCGAACTTTTTTCGAATCGAAGTTTCGATGATCGAATCAAGCGGTTCGAAAGGTTCGAAAGATTTCGATTTTTCGAATTGTTTACATCGTAAAATTCGACAGAAGTCGAATTTTCGAACTTGTTAAGCTAAGAAGTTCGACGTTTTTCGAACCGTCGAACTTATTACGCTAAAAAATTCGATCTTTTACGAACTTTCGAACTTATTGCGCCTCAAAGTTCGATGCTTGTCGAACTTCCGAACTTGACTGACCAAAAAATCGATGAATTTCGAACTTTCGAATTTATTTATCAAGAGAATTCGAAAACCTTCGAACTTTCGAATTCCTGAAAAGTCAGAAGTTCGACGAACTTCGAACTTTTAGGGTAAAAGTTCGACGTTCGTCGAACTTCGAATGACCGGCGGACGGTTTCATTTGAATTCAAGTAGTGAGGTACATTCGTAATATTTTTTTTCTCTAACTTTTACACGCGGTGCTGCGTTCCTTACGAAAGACAATGCCGTTTGTTTCAATGTTCTGGCATGCTTAGTTTTAAAGAAATAAATTCCCGAAGAAGCGAGGAAGGACGACGGGTTTTTGACGATTATCGTTTGTGCCAGATTTGAAGCGGCTGTAGCCGAAGCTATTTATGGTAGAGATGTTATACCTTTTTAAGAATGATCTATGTATAGCCTAGGTAAGTGTCGTCTTAAGATGTGATTATTGTTATTCAACGTGAGTTTCGAAGAAATGTCCAAACATGTATCTACATGCAATTATGCCCTAAACTTGACATCTATTTTTGTTTAAGTTGTTTGAGGTATCGCATTCAAATTAACACCACATACAGTACATATCATTGCCATCTGCAGAATACAAAATAATGTATTTATTGTTTTTTCACGTTGAGGAATAAATTAACTTATTTGAGAAGATTTCTAAGAGTGTTCAAGTTCAGCACGTCATTAAAAGAAAACTTTTTTTTTTCGCTTCACGTTCCTGGGACGTGTTTCTTTTAGCCTGTACACATTTTGGTAAAAGAAACTTGTTTCGAAGTTCTGAACCTCTGAATATGCAAGAATACAACAGTTCCGGCGAATTCTTGATAGTTTTTTTTTTTTTTTCAGCTTTTTATTCTTGCATTTTTTTTTTTTTTTTTTTTTTTTATTATTATTATTGGCACATGTGTTTACGTCGAAAAGACATAGCTTTGAACTTCCGAACCCCTAAGCATGTGACGAGTAGTGCCTTCTGACAACGAGTTTCTAACAATGACCATCTACGCAATTGTTTATGCAGTGAAGAGCGACAGTAGCGGTATATATGCATAAATAATTTCAGATTAAAATAAGCTCGACCACGCCCTCTTTCCCGTATTGTTTAACAGTCCGAAATATCTGGAAGGGGAGGAAGGGAACTGAAGACCCCCCCCCCCCGCTACCCTCTTTCCCCCCGTTTTTCCTCTTCCGACGCCACTTGTATGATAGAACGCTCCTCAACCTCGAGTTGTGTCGGCTTTTGCGAGGCGATTCCTCCGCCCCAGAAAATAAACCTCCAGGACAATTACAAACTTAACTTACTATATGCCAGCGTCACTCGGGCGGCATTCGATCGGATTCCTAGCAGCGTGCAGGGGGTGGCAAGGTGGTTTGCCAGGTCGCTTCAAGGTTTTTCTGAGCCTCAACCTCCTGCTCGCCCCTGGCCGTTTCGAACTGGATGAGTCTCGTAAAACAGTGTGTTCGTATGATCACTACTGCGTGATGCAGGTGAAAGACCCCCCCCCCCGGGCTGGCGGTCCCAGTTACTGATCTATGGTCACAAGTCACTCTGCACTGGCAAATATTCCAGCACATCCGGGACACTCGTCGTCTCATTTAATTGCCTGACCAACTTCGCAGAATCTAGATATCACACCCTAACTTTTCTAAACTTCATTTTGTGGAAACCAGTGAGTCGTGAAAACGTTATTTGAAACAAACTGTGGAGGAATTTGAAAACTGGACTTCAAACTTTGAAAACGTGGACTAGAAAGGAATTCAAACTCTTCAAAGTTTTTTTTTTTCGAACTTAGCGTTAAAAGAAAATCGAAATCTTCGAACTTTTCGAACTTTATGCAGAAAGAAATTCGAAATCTTCGAATTGTTCGAACTTCATGTCTATAAAAAATCGAAGCGTTCGAAGTTTTCGAATTTTATTTCCAAAGAATTTCGAAATCTTCGAATTTATCGACCCTGAAGTAAAAAAATATTCGAAATATTTGAATCCGAAGTTTTAGAAACCGTGAAAGTTTCGAACTTTTCGAATTCGAAACTTCACTGTGATCAAAAGTTGCGAATTTTTCGAATTCGAACCTCGGTCAATACGAAAATATCAAAATTTTTCGAAATCGAACTTCAGTTCGCTTCGCAAATATCGAAACCTTTCGAAATCGAACCTGGGGCGGTTTGCGACATCCCTAGTCTTTAGGCTTTTGCTTTGCTCCATTGTATCAATGCAGAGACTGGGAGGATTTCTTCGGCTGCCATTCAAGACAGAAAAGGGTTCCTTGAGGTCGGAAACACGTGAGACCCTTGGCTCTAGTTCGCCATAAAAATGTGAAGTGTAACTTTAAGTTGTTAAGCTGTGTTTTCATTGTTTGTGCACCTATGCTACAGCATGGACACTAACACTTCAAACCCACTTTAGACAGTCTGCAAGAATAAATTTCTCATTGTATCGCACTACGATTTAATGCAGAGGCGTGGTTAGGTGGTGGAAGCTTCAGAGTGAAAACATCAATGGATGAACTTACCTTGTCTAGAAGGGAAAAAAGAAAGGCCTGTTTTGGGCGATCTATGGCGCCATTAGCAGACGGTAGGTGCTCTCCGTGCAACACTGCCGACAGACGTCGGAAGCATCGAGGACGCCCCAGCGCCGAGCTTAGCAGAAGATCTTCCGAAAATTTTGACTATGCTTCCTTAGTGTGGCGTGCATCTCTCTAAGGTATGATTCTCAAAGTGTGATAATTTTTTTATAAACTAACTATTTGCGACTCCAGCGACCTATAAGGGGCGCCACCACCAAACAAACATGGCGGCTGGGTCCAGGTCGCGTCGGCTCGGCCGGGCCGCCTGAACGGGTTGCACTTTCAATTTAACAGATTTTCTTCTGTTTAATGCCCCATTTTATAGGTATTCGAACTGCGACGGTTAACTGTAGCTGGTGCACATAAACCTGCAGAGCACAGTTTTGTTTTCCCGTTGTTTTTTTTTTGTTCCTTTCATGTCAAACTTTCGTTTCTGAGATTTCGTTCAAAACCGAAACAATGCTCCAGAGAGACGGTAATAGACTCTAATCAGTTTTGATCAGCTAAGGAAAGCGGCGATAATTACAGAATTGTTCCACCGAGAGTAATTTTCGGCTAACTGGCATGCCTCGACTATGCGACTTATCTGTCCGCAAAATCGAGCTTTTGTGCGTATCCGCGTTTAAGAAACAGCTCCAGTCGTCTGCTCGGTCAACAACACAGGCTGCCGGAAAATTACGAAAATTAAGCAAGTGCTCCTTGAGTCAAAGAGCATGTTATCCCGCTGGCACCCCACTAAGCAGCTGATACTCATATTTAAATTCAGGTTTTTGTAGCAATCGGGAAGTCATTTTGACGAGCGGGTTATGTATTATAGTACATACTATGTCCCACTAAAGCGATATTAGTATATTCTTCGGGTTGAAATATGAGGTTAGTTGACTAGCTACTAAGTGAACTCTCGAATAAAAGTATATTTGACAGGCAGAGAGGTACTACTTAAATTCAGCCAAATGGTTCTAGCCGGTAGCACGGAGACGAATGCGGACAACCTGAAAAGAGTCTTTATCAGAGATTGACGCAGAACCTCTCTGCATTGAACTTGACTTTGAATTCTGAACGGAGAAAATTAGTATTTTTTGTGGCCGGTCAACCTGAGCAATTTAGACGTATATTGCTGCTGGCTTTCTACGGGGGTATAATATAAATATTGGAGGCGCGATAGATCATAATGCCGTGACAGCTTCTAACTTTGAGAGACGCATCTAACTTTGCGAGACCTTTTGAAAGCAGACAATTTCCCTCATTAATCGTATGCAGCGAGCAGGCTTTCCGGAATTAAGTAATTGTGAAATCAGCCCAACTCCTTCAGTGTGGTCCAGAGGTTTTTTTCGGCGAAAAGCAGCCAAGATGAATAACCAACGCACCGACCGGTGTGGGTGGCTCGAACTTGAAGCTAATTGAACACAACCAAACTCAAGAAAAGAAGCTATCGAACTTTCCCATTCACTTAACTGCAACATTGGTGTTCCCTTCAGTGAAACACCTCGTCTGTCGTCCTTAGTCCACTGTTCTACGTCCTTATAAAGAAACCACTTACTTATCAGTTACCAAGTAGTCGTCACTTTGAATGTGATTCGAGACAGACAAGAAATCCAAACGTTTTTCCGTGATTCCTCCCCATCCAAGAAATCGAAAGCACGCGACCGCGGTTTGTGGAGTAAACGGGCTCTCAAACACGTGATGGAAGGAAACAATCTACTGAGGCTTCACCACACTAATGAACACTCAGGCAAACTTAAGAAATTGTCGGACCTTCGTCAAATTAGATTGTTCGCCACCGCGCCGACAACACGCTTCCGCGAAAGCCACCAGAGACGCGGAGGGGCGCAAAGCGACCTGTTCCGGCTGGTTCCTGGTTTTCCCGCTTGGTGGCGTCTGTTTTGCTGGAGTTGCGAATAAAAACTTTCAGCCTTTAAACTCTGGTGAAGAAGGAAGACCAGCAAAGCTCTACTATGGTGGGAATGAAGTAATGGCCGACCACAAGTCGGCAAGCCAGAGTGGAAAGGCTGGAAAAGCGTCCGCCATCTATGAGCGACGGTGGCAACCAGATAACCAGCAAGCAGGTGTCTGGTTGTCGCCATCGCTCATAGATGGCGGTAGCTGTGGGAAGTGTTGTGTTGACATTTATTTGCTGGCGGACACGATAACTAGCCCTTAACAGCTCCGATGTAAAAGGATGTATTTAAATCCCCAAGAGACCCCCATTTGTTGTACGGAGATGACTGAACGAGGCGCTGCCACCTCTCGTACTGCACGTTGCACCATATGTCGGCAGAGACCGTCAATGCACCGTCTGACATGCCACCGTAGATTCACTGAAACTGGTTCTTTTTTTTTTCTCTCGAGTAAGGTTAGTTCATTTGTTGATATTTTCACTACAAACTTCCTCTACCTAGACACATGTCTGTACTGTTTGAAGCGGGTTCAAGGCATAGGTGTATGTGCTGTAGTTTTCTAAATGCCCTAACAAACGCTAACCAGGTTAGCTGTCAAACATTTTAGCACATGGTCCCCTGATAATGCGCAATTCAGTCAAAGTTGGTCTCTGATGTTAGACAGAGGGACATTCTAGTTTTGATGCTGCTTCAAAGACTAATTTGAATGAAAAAGAATTGTGATCAATAAAGCCAGAAACTGACACGAAGTTAGGAACCAAACAGAATCCAGTATACCTATACTCCGCGACAACTTTTCTTGGCAATGCAGTGGAAGGTACGTCACGCGTCCCCTCTCCCATTCTGAGTGTACGCAGGCTTTCCTCCTCCCTCATTTTTGGGGAGAGGAGGAGAGCCTGTGTACACTCAAAATGGGAGAGAGTACGCGGGCCTGTACCTTCCACTGCATTGCCAAGAAGAGTTGTCGCGGAGTATAAAATGTATTTTTTATGTCACAAAACAGAAAAGTGCAGGAGATACTCACTCCTCTGTTCTGTACTGTTCACACCGGTGAAGAATGATTCGCAGGACCTCTTTATCCGTTCCAAGGTACAGCGAGCTCTGAAAGAAAAATGAGGAGACCCTCCACCTTAAATTTATATATTACCTATATACAGGATGTTTCACATAAGAGTGACAAAAATTCCTACAATCAGTGTATTCCAGGTAAAAAGACAATTTTCTTGGGACCGCATTACTCGTGGTGGCGTAAGTCAGAAAATGCGCAATACTTACTAATTAGTTCGATAATGAACTTTTAAAGGGCAGCTCTTAGGCGCCCGTTTTCGGGTTGAGCGGCGTCGCCATTGGCATAACCGCGCGTTGCATTATGGGACGTTTCCCATAATGACGCCACTTGTGACGTCACAAGGGTAAAAGTTTCTTGCTAAATTTTGCGAAAAAATTTTCTGCTAAACCTAGCGGGAAACTTTCCTGCTAAATTTAGCAGGGAAATTGATCGACTAAATTTAGTAAGAAACTTTCCTGCTAAATTTAACGGAAAACTTTCCCGCCAAATTTAGCAGGAAAATTTTACTCTGGTGATGTCACAAGTGACGTAAATGAATGTGACGTCACGTAAAATTTTGTGAAAAATCTTTTCTGCTAAATTTAGTGGAAATATTTCCCCACTAAATTTAGCGGTGAAATTGACATCACATGACCTCAACACCAATTCAGTTCCCCCACTAAATTTAGCGGGAAAATTTCCGCTAAATTCTGGGCCGCGAAAATAGGGAGTTTTCGTAGACCGGAATTCCCCCTCCACTAAGCCCTTTGCAAGGAAGAAGCTGCTACTGCGTTTGCACACCGATGGCCTTGACTGAAGAAACCCGGATCTCTTAGTGGGTTGTGGAGAGCGTTGCGGGACGACGGAAACAATCTACGAAAACTCCCTATTGTTGGTAAATTTCCTGCTAAATTTAACAGAAATATTCTCTCGCTAAATTTAGTCGGAAATTCAGCAAAAATTTACCACCAAATGGGAAGAGAACAAGAGAGGAGGAGGGGAGGGGGAGGAGGGGCATACCCTCACCTCCTCCTCCTCAAGAGCTGTGCTGTGCGAAAGATGTTTATCCTGTCCGTCCTCTTTGTCTGACTTTTTCGTATATTTTTGAATCTAATGCAGCATTACAGAGAATTGTAAACGTCTTTCATTTTTTAAAATTAAATATAATTAGTGAAAATAGACGTATGGTTCCAGTTAGAAACTTGCTGAGCGTCATCGAAAACCCCTAAATCAGTAATTTTCAGAGAGACTTTGAGCATATGAGATGCATAGTAGTGCACTAAAGTAGCCACTCGTGGAGCTGGTACAAGGCTAGCGGCTGCGGTAAGACGCCTGAGCAATTTTTCCGTCTCTTATGAGAGCCTCAGCTTTGTACCTGCTCCATGAGAGATAACCTTGATCACACAACTACGCTTCTCATGCGCTCAGATACTTTTTGAAAAATCTGTTTTAGTAATTCTCAATGATGCTCAGCAAGTTGCTAATTGGAACCATATGTCTATTTTCACTACTTAAAAAGGTAATTAGTCATTTTTCTTTAATTAGCGAATTTGTAAGTATCCCACATTCTCTGATGTCTGCCGCCACTAGTAATGCGGTCCTGAGAAAATTATCTTTGTACCTGGAATACACTAATTGTAGAAAGTTTTGTCACTGTTATATGAAACGCCCTGTCTATTTTAAAAGCTCTTAAAAATCGTTTTGGCCACTGCATATACACATGCATTTGCATATCTGCACACATAGTGCGCATATACTCATGCACACATCTGCATCTGTACAAATCCGTACATATACACAAACATACAGGATGTTTTTTTTTTATATTCTGTACAGAATCTTAAAGAAAAAGAAACACGAAAGTTACACTTATGCAGTCTGTGCAGGTGAGTAGTCTCAACATCTACCCTCCACTGTACCAATTTATTGCCAGTAATCAAGCTGCTTGCGAGTTTTACGAAAAGTGCACAAATTCTGTTGAAAGGCATCATGCAGAGGCAGTCACTCACAGTGTCCTTGAGAAGCTTCATGGTGTAGATGTGGCGAGTCCTGGGCGGGAACGGGGTCAGTTCCTCTATGAGGCATGTTTCGAGCACCCTCGGCACTACCATCAGCTTCTTGATGGTCCCCTCCAGAGTAGCAGCGAAGATCACGTGGACGCCATCGTGGTTGTATTTGGTGGGCACCACGTCGACCGTGATGTGCGTCAGCCTGCACAGCGTATCCGAGAGGAATAGAAAAGAGGGAAAGGAGAAAGACACCTTTACGATATAGAATAAGCGAGAGAACGTGGACAGAAGATTACCGCGGGAAAGGCGAACACAGGGACATTTCTTTTCATTGCTCCATTGTAGAGGTTTTGAACTTGTCAGTCGGTGTAGTGGCTCTAAATGGTGCCTTTTACGAGTGCATGTGCACACTGCGTGACATGGTTAGTGTGAACGTAACATCACCGCTTTTGCTTAATTTACGCAACGGTGTTATTGACGAGCACAAAATTTTGCTGCTACTTTGGCTTGTATCCCGAATGAGCCTTTTCCACAACCCTGGCAGTTTCGATGACAGCCTTTCAATTCTAAAAGAGAGATAAAAAAACAAAAACAACTGGCGATCGCTTGTTAGTGCTAACTCTGTCGTGCTATGTACTGCCACTTCTTTTTTAGTTATAACACTCCTTGGCCATGTCTTTCGGTGGCTGTTCTGTGCTTGCCATCAATAACAATAAAAAAAACAGGATTATTAGCAATAAAACACGATTATAAGCAATTGTAATGGTAACAAAAATGGCTTTGAAAGTAACTGACATTTTTCTCAAGCTGCTTTTAATCAGCAGTAAATAGGTGTTCTTTCAAATGGTCTTTTGAAGGGTATTTTATATTCACACCATAAGTATGTTTACTGACTATGTTAACTAACACTGAAGAAAATCTTCATGCATGGTCATACGGTGACTTTACCGACAAGCTGCGGGTAGAGTAACATACCTATGTTGCCTGGCAACAACAACTGTGGTGGTGTAAAATAAATGTGGTTGAAGCTCGCTGCAAGCATGCACTAAATGTAACATGCACAGTTACAATGGCACGTGAATATCCCCTATAAGGCTAAGAGGATGCCAACTAGTTTTGGACGCACCTCTCCAGCTCCCCGGTGTAGAAAGGGCGGGGGCTTGCTGCCTGGACAGCATCATCGGTCAGCTGGTAGTTCCGTGCCTCCAGCACTTGGGTGTCATCTCGCGGTTTATCGCACTGCTTGAATGAATACGGGCCACAAGCAAGATATGGGCAATCAGTTGGAACAACTCATTAAACTAAGATTAACGACATAATAATAAAGAGCAGACCTGCACAAAAGCGGGGCAATTAGAGATAAGGGGAAATATTTCTTTGGTACCTACTAGGATTCAGCAAATATTAGAATTGTCTAATAGTACTAGTTCAAATAATACGCTATTTGGTATTTACTTTGATAAGAACTGCAGTAAGACATTTTTCGAAGTGCTGATCGCGGTGGGTTAGCGTCATTGAGTGCGCTTCTTACCGAACACCGGTGCACTGCAGAGAAGCAACATCCGTGAAGCTCGCTTCTGCTGGTGTTGCTTCTTTGTAGTGTACCGGTGCTTGGTAAGAAGCACGCTCAAAGGAGCTTTCAAAGCGGGATGTGCACACACGTTCCTGGTTTATTTAAAAAGAAACAGGAACTTTGTGAATGTTTATATTTACATTGCAGTAAAATTTTCACGATTAAACTATGGCTATTATGCACGAGTACATGTTAGGCAGAGATGCCCTGACAACCTGTGGCAATCATTCGTGATTGTCTTCTTTTTTTTCTCCTAAAAATTCGAGATTGAAAAGAGGCTATTTGCATATAGCAAGAATATTTATAAATCCTCTCGATTAGCTGGGCACCTTTATATGTTTACTTTTATGTCAAGCATCTCATTTACTCCCAAAGGAGGTGTTGGACTTTCTGAGGTCACAGTCCATATATATAACTAGATACCTTAGCTTAGAAATGGACAAGTAAAAAGCTTGGAAACAACCTTCATGACCTCAGCAGGGTTTTTGTTTAAGCATGGTGTGGTTGTGAAAGGCTTAGAGAAACGTGGATATTATATTCGAAAATATTCGGCCAAAGCCCACTGTTCGCTTTGAATTAAAAATTAACTATTTGCACATGTCTGGGACCTACTAATCTTATAATTGCTTGTGTTTGGTTTAATGGCTGAATCAAAACTCAAGTCAGGCTCACTATCATTTATTTGAAAAGTGGATTTCATTTCTTCCTTCAGTCAAGAGCAAAAGGGTTAGCGTTAGAGAGTACACAAGACACCAAAGGTACCTGAAATTGCTTGCCAGATGTCAGTGAACGTTCCCATGCGGCTTTGGAATTTGCTTGGAACTTCAGTGGCCCGTCAAACGCTCGTCTGATGGCGGACATGTTGAAGGCGCAGATTGCAGACCCATAAATGCTGTTCCTGCAAAATAGATTAAAAAAAAAAAACCGTACGTTGATGTCCAACTTATGCATTAACAAAATGCCGTCTTCTAACTAGTACTGCACGCATTTCTCAGGGTGCCACAGTGCAAGCCTGTTCTATTCGAAAACTACCATGTTGCTGGTGACTTACGTAAATTTAGTGACTTCTTTCCTTTCAATCTTAAAATACTCCTACTCTGATGGCCACCTTGTAATAAAAAAGGAACTGCAGATTCCAATAAAAACCTTAACACATATTTTGCCGAGATGTCAGTCGAACGTCCCTCGTGACAAAAGACGTCGGGCAAAATTGGCAGCATTTGAGTACAACTTGAGAATGTTGTTATTCCATTTACAATGCCCAAAGGGGACACAAATGGAACCTCAAAAATGTTTCCTCTAAAAAGTACCGTACTCACCCAATTCTAACACGGCAACGATTATAACACTGTCAGAATAATTATTCTAACAGGGCCCCGATTTCCGTTTCGATTCGAAAGTTTGGATCATACACTTGCATTTGCTTACGACAGAGTTCTTGTGATCTTTTACGACGAGCGAACAATAGGGATCATGAAAGGGGAACAGCGCAAAATAAAAGAAGGACGAGTAGAAGAGGTAACGACAGACATGGCGCTGTTACCTTTTTCACTCGTCCCTCGTTTATTTTCGCGCTGTTCCCCTTTCATGATGTCAAACCAACTCGCCCAACTTTATGCGTTGTTGAACGATAGAGAGCCTATAGACTTAAGAAAGGGAGCAATTTAATGGTGGGCGCCTCCAGCACCGATTGGTCGCAAGTGTGCACGCGTTGCGTCGCCGTGTGGCGAAGAGGAAAGCGGGTGGAAATGCAGAGACACTTGCAGACGAACAACGCTTCCGTCACCTCCTCGCAGCTCGTGTAGCAAATACGGCCCATACACCACGTGATCCCAATCAAGCAGTTGCAAACTTTCCGTAATACAGGCTCTCCAAAGAACACACTATGAGGTGGCCCTGGAACTGCTGTTCGCTTGAGCGAAGGTTTTGCAGTATTTGTGGGATCAAAGGTATATAATACCTACGACAAACGGTCATTTGTAAGACGTTTTTCGAGTCAATTAAGAAAGAACTATGTGCAAATTTAACGCATTTGGTCATAATCAATCACGAGCGTGTGAACCAGTGCACAGTCAAAACAAGTGCACGCATTAGAAACAGGTAAGCACGGTAGCCTGGGGTCGGGGTAGAGCTCGGCGGCTTTAGGTGCAGATATTTCTTTTGGAGAGTGGGCCTGGATGTCGAGCGAGCGACGAGTTTGAGGCTGGGACCCTCCAATGTCTCCATCTAGATACGCAGCAAGCTTTGCAAAAGGTCTACTTGATTCATGCTTGGCAGATAAGAGCAGTATCGCTTCATGGCAGAAAGGCACGATCTTGAGCGTTCGGCGAAGCGAGGGCTACTCACTCTCCCGTCGTGAATGTGGCGTAGAAGAGCTCCTCGTCCTCCAAGTAGTGCACGCTCTGTATCTCGTTGTAGTAGAAGGGAAAGAGCCCCGGCAGGGAGCAGTTGAGTCGAGCCTTGAGGAAGGTGGTCCAGTTGTCTTTCAGGCTCAGCCTGCCGCCCTGGTCGTTCTTGCACACCCTGGCAACCCGGGAGTACACCGCCTGCGTGAAATAAAAACGTTGGAGGTACACATTCCAGTCGCGGCCCTCGTCACCGAGACAGGAGACATCTTCGTACAGATAAAGAATGGAGGAGCAAATAAACGTTGAACGTGCACAGCCGGTAGAGAACCAACTACCGTAAACATGAAGGTAGGAAGCTTCTGGAGGCGACATCAGGCCTCCAGAGGTGAAGCCAGAAGTGTGGAGGGACATGTCCCAAACGATGACCAAAGCCAAGAACTGCTATTGGACAAAAAGGAGTGCTGACTTGGCACCAACAGCTGTTTTGGTCACCCAAGTGACCCACACGAGCTATTAGTGCCAAGTCTGCTCTCCCTTTCGTCCAATAGCATCTCTTGGTTTTGGTCATCGTCGGGTGCGTGTCTCTTCGCACTTCTGGCTTCACCTACGGTGGCCTCACGCAGCGGCGTAGACTTTCCATTTTCCCGGGGGGGGGGGGGGGGGGGGGCGGGGCAGGCTGAGAAGTTCTTTAGGGGGGGGGGGGTGCGCATTATCTTTTCACCAGAACTGGAGATTGAAGCTAACGAAAGCACGCTGGGATTTCATTTCCCATGTATTTTGTCAATAAAGGCAACGTGGGTGTTATTTTGTTTATATGCCACTACTAGAAGCTCGTTACATGGCACGTAAACAGCGTCTCGGTAAGGATGATGGCCTGGGCCCGGAGGGGGGGGGGGCTCTGCCCCCCCCCCGGATCTTACCAGGGGAGGCACGAGCCCCGATGCCCCCCCGAAGTCTACGCCTATGGCCTCACGTTGCCTACAGAAGCTTCTTACATCTATGACCGTAAAATACCAAGCACGCACATACATCACAATAAGCGCCAACCCGCTCTTTTCGAAAAGTTTAAAAATAAATGCAAAGGACATATCGACCATTGAACCCAGGCTTAGATGCTCCTGCGTGTCAACCGTACCTCCGGGTACGCCAGCACAACGCAATGAAGGTTCATGTGCTGAACCGGTCCCAAGAGATGAAGTCCAACATGCCTTGTGCCCCCTTCTGTCTTTCTGCTCTCAAACCTTATGAGTGCCCATTCTCCGGTTTTTCAAGATCGTTGATCTCGATTTTGGGATGGAAGCATGCTCGGTGTATTATGCTATGTCCAAATCTGTCGCGGTAATACATTGCAATGTAAATTTTTTCTTTAGGCAGAGGATATTGTTTCACCACTGTTGGGGACCAATTTAGACATTGAAGTGCAACTGCTAATCTGAAACCTTTCCTGTGCATGGAGCACTTGTCGTCAACAAATAAAAATAGAATGGAACCTTAAGAAGGTGAGATTTCGTCTTGTGGTTCACATGTTTTCAGTACAGGCCACGTTCAAGTACTCCCTAGCAGTGGCACCTTAAAAAGACATTAAAAGTGACCTTCCACTTTTTCTGAAAGGGTGCTTTTTGTTGCAGCAAGACCAAATGCACCATTTAGGAAAACATTCCATATATGTTTTTCTCACACAGCAGCAGTTTGCAAAAAGGCAGGAAAGTTGAAAGATGAATACAGATTAAGGAAGTGCCTACCACTGATTTTGGATGAGTGCTTACTCGGTGCTTTATGGTCACAAAAGAGACAAGTGAGAATAAAAGATAATATATCTGAGTAAAAAAAAAAAAAAATTGATTCAATAGACAAAATATTTTGGTTTAGAAACAGAGAAAACTTCTGAGGACATCACGCAATGTTGCAGCTAAGCTGTCAGAAATAGTTTATGCATATAACCTAGGGTGACCATATTCCTCACGGTAGAAAACAGGACATCCGGGCGGGAAAGAAGGGGGAGGGAAGGAGTTTCCAATCGAGATTCTACATGTGTGCTATACCCAGTTTTTCAAAAAAAAATATCCCTACACACCTGCCTTCGCGAGAGAAAAAGTGTTTGTAGGCAAGGACAGTTGTAAATTTTACTCTCTGGGTAAATATTTTAAAGTACCGATGCTTATTTTTGTAAGATATACTTGTAACGAGTAGGCATAGTTTCGGTTTGCTTTAACTCGCTTGGTGCCGATTTCGAAACTACGCACTCCTGCGAAAACGGGACATAATTTTTTATTAGGACAAAAAGACGGGACGGCAGAAGTGGACCTCAAAAACGGACTGTCCCGGCCAAAACGGGCCGTCTGGTCACCCTAATATAACCACAAGTAATATTTCAAAACAGTTTGAGTTAAGGAGTAAACCTTTCATGTGCATTCATGCCACAACAGAGTACCAGAAGTCGCCAAAAGAAAACTTACTTTTATACTCAAATTGGAGGCTGCGCGCACCTCAATAAAAAAACTCTAGTTCCATGTGCAACAAAAGGTGGTCTTACTTTTCCGCAGTTCATAAATTCCACCGCAGACTCCCGGTAGAAGACGTAGACAAACTCTCCAATCTCGAAGGACCCCACAAAGCTTGGTTCTGAAATGAAGTGTGACATAGTTCTCTTTATTCAGAGCCCTTACCAACAGAACGGGTAAATTGAAAGACTACAAAAGAGTGTTTAAAAATAACAAAGCTGGGGTATGTGGACAGTTGTGAGTAAAAAAGAAAAAAAAAATTTCACAAGCCCAGGAGTAAAAAAATTATTACATTGCAGTAATTCTATTCAACCACAAGAAATGTGGAACAATTTTCTAATGAAAGAAAATCGACAATTGCGGGATTCTAAGCATATGAAAAAACAAAGCAAAGTAGCAGTTGTGTCCAAGTTTTTCTGATCCTGCGCTCTTTTCTTTGCATTGTCTCCCACCTGCATTCAAGTTTCAAATATTTAAATACAATATTCAATGCCACGCTCTCTCTTTGAGATGTGTTTACAGCTACATTGAGTTGTACCCGTGCCACTCTCGTTACCCCCAAAGCAAAAATTGCAGGCACGTTTTATCAACCAAATGCGATGAATTACAAATACCTTAGAAGCACGTTGTTAGAGAGAGAGAGAAGACGACGACGATCCTATCTCTGGTAACCCATTTTGTGCTCTCCGAAGTAATCGTAAGAAACTACTGTTTTTCGTTTTGAGTAACCTCCAATTCTGTGACTACCACTAGAGAAAAGTACCTGACCTTTGTGTTCAAAGGGCCTCCTTTTGGGAGGCCGGAAAAATCTCGGAAATGACAACTGAGCCTCTGACCCCACCGAACCAACTCTACATGGAAGAGGACGAAGACCAGGCTACGGGCCCCATAGGTGACCTTCCACCTACTGATTCCATAAATGACTCACACAGTAGTTCCTCATCGACAATTGTATCCCTACGTGACGACGACGACATGCTCTCCGATGACACACAGTACGAACTAATGCATGGAAAGAAAAGACGCAAGACAAGCCAGAGCCCTGCATCACCACCTACGAACGAAACCAACTTACAGGTCGGATACACAGTACTGTTCATCCCGACAGCAAACAACAAAGTGGGATCTCTCAGCAAATTAAAGCTCACGGACTTCCTCAACAACGTTGCTCCAGGCATGGTCAGTGTAGTTCGAGTGAACGCAGCACGTAACATCGTTGCAGTAGATGTGAAACGACCTCTCTACAAGGCCGAACTTCTAAAGATAACAAAACTCTGTGACGTGCCTGCAAGAGCTTTTATACCTCGAGATCGCTTCAACTGTTTCGGCGTACTTCGAGATATTGATCCCGACTATACCGAACAAGACGTCAAGGCGCAGCTACAGTCCTCCATTGGAGTAACAGAAGTGAAGCGACTAGGCAAAGCATCGCCTGTTGTGCGAGTTGCATTTGCAGGTAAAATGGCACCCCAGCATGTCAAAGTGGGCCTTGTGAGGACTACAGTAATTCCTTATCAAGCACGACCCCTGCAATGCTACAAATGCCATAAATTTGGTCACATTGCAGTTGCATGCGCTGCAGAGTTCCAAATTTGCTATCAGTGTGGGCAAAGTCATGAAGGCGCATGTGAGGCCACCCCGAGCTGCGTGAATTGTCGAGGAAATCACACCTCTAATGCAACAGAATGCCCGGTCAAGCAAAGGGAAACAGAAATTATGAGATACCAACACGAAAATAACACGACACTTCGTGAGGCAAGGGGTGCTGTGTATGCGAAACGTCAAACCAACAAGCAAGTGAATGAAAAACATATACAGAGACCTAACATAGCCAGTACGACAGCGCCACCTTTGACTGATGAGGCGTTCCCTCCTTTGAGCAGCTCGGGGAAAACGGCTGAAGATGACCCCACCGCGGCATCCACATCATCAGACACACTAGGAAATTCTCAGAAACCATCCTTTTGGGAAAAACAACACATCAAAGACATTATCTCACACTCGTCTCCTCATACACATGCGTCGACTCCCAACCAGGCGAATGGAAGAGCACCTACCTCACTGATTAAAGTGATAGTGCCGTTAATTTTCTCCGTCCTTCAAAAAATATTGGACACAATACCACCATCATCAACGCTCCACCAAGTGATCACAGCAGTCCTTTCATTAGAGTCCATTATTTCAATGGCGTTCTGAACTATTCTCAAGCACGCCATACTCGCACTAAAAGGTCTATAACGCCTCCACGAAGCCCAGTGCTTTCACTTTTCTGCTCCAATAGCTAAACGACAATCAACGAAAAAGGCCAAGAGCATAAAACCTTTGCCAACTATACTACAATGGAATGTAAACAGCCTTCGTCCTCGCCTACCTGAACTTCGGCGCCGCCTCCTTACACTGCAAACAGATGTTCTCGCACTACAAGAGACTTACTTACCTAAAGGGCTTCACCGATTCTCCCCATATGTCCAGTACCACAGTGATACAATTCAACCCGATGGAAAATCTCGTGCATCCTTATTCATAAAAAAATCAATCTGTCAAAAAGAAATACCTTTGAAAGACTTCAACTCTACATATGACGAACACGTCGCGGCAATCATACGAATAGCCAAGCAGGAAGTTACTGTCATATCCACCTATGTTCGACCAAATACACCTTGGAATCCTAACGCAATCCGGAAAATTCGTGCACGCTGTTCTGGACCCATCATCTGGTGTGGCGACTTCAACGCAAACCATCCAGCATGGGGAAGCGACAGCACTACGCGACGAGGCACCATACTTTTGGACATCATCGCTGATTTGAACCTCCGCTGCATAAACACCGGAGACCCTACACTAGTACGGCCCAACCTTGAAAAAGCAAGCGTCCTAGACCTCATTTTGGTATCGCCTGAAATAGAGATAGTCTGGAGTCTCGAGCCCGACACATGGGGCTCAGATCATATTCCAATTCACCTCACTCCCCGCTGTGGCCTCGCACCAAAACATTGTGTACATACAGTAACGAATTGGGATATGTATCGACAAATACTAGCAAAACTCTTTAAAAGCACTGGCACGGGTAGCATCCCACTGGAAGATGCAATATGTGTAGCTATCTCTAAAGCCACCAAAACAGTCACCCTACCCGCGAACAACCCAGTTCCTGACCTTATATATCTCGAAATCCGCGCTGCCTCTCGACGAGCTCAGCGGATTGCGAGACGCACAAATGCCCCCGCCGACTGGACAAAATCAAGGCGAATAGACGCAAAACTATGTCGTCATACCAGACGCCTAGGTAGACAACAATGGCAACTTCGAAGCGAATCGCTTAAAACTGATTCGGGGTCGAGGCTACCTTGGACCACTGTGAGATGCTTACTTGAGCCTGTATCTCAAGCATATCCTTTTGCTGAGATAGCGATAAAAGACAACCTCAAAAACATTGACGCTACGGATAGACCCCTTCTTCTAGAGTACCTCAACGTGATTTGGCGATCCGGCAAACTTCCTTCCTCCTGGCTACATTCTACTGTAGTAGCCGTCCCAAAAGCAGGCAAGTCAAAAGCCATCATAACATCTTACCGTCCAATCTCCTTAACCTCCTGTGTCTGCAAGCTTTTAGAGCGGATGATCCACCGACGGCTCAGCTGGCAACTTGAAGACGCACAAGCGCTACCACCACAGCTATCAGGGTTTCGCGCGGGCTGCTCAACAGCGGACTCGATTGGAAATCTGACATCATCACTAGAGCAAGCCAAGGCACAAAAACACGTTCTTCATGCTGTCTTTCTAGACATTCACCGAGCATTTGATGCACTTCCACACAACGTGATTATGGAGCGCCTTCGTCATATCGGTGTCAGAGGGAGAACGTACAAGTTTATTGCGTCGTTTTTACAACGAAGAACCTTCCATGTAAAAATAGCTGGGCATACAAGTTCGCCCCGCGACTCTTCCCAGGGAGTACCGCAGGGAAGCGTCTTAAGTCCCTTGCTATTTAACATCGTGATGGCCGGCCTACCTTCTGCGCTTCCTAAAGGTGACACAATCGCAGTCAACTGCGCTATCTATGCAGACGATGTTGCGCGTTGGCCCCGTACGCCAGAGCGGGGCCGACGCGCATCTCGTACGGAGCCAACGCGCATCTCGACTACAATACAAGCCAAACTCCAACAGTCCTTGAACACAACAGCCGCATTTCTCTACCACGCGGGTCTCACGCTGTCAGTAACAAAGACATCGGCGTTGAGCTATCGGCCAAGAGCTAGACTTAAAGGAAAATTCAGCTTGCTACGCGTAGATGGCAAACGGATTCGCAGAAGCACTGAGGTGCGATATCTTGGTGCAATCATTGACGACCGAGGAAATTGGCGCCCAGCCGTCAAACATACACTAAATGAGGCTTGCAAATTACTTGGCGCTATCCGAAGAATAGGAGGCCGCAACTGGGGTGCCAGTCAACAAGTCATGCTTACGCTGTATCGCGGCCTTATCGTCAACCGAATATTATATTCCCTCCCCCTGCTGGAGATTCTGGATTCTCAATGGAAAACTCTCGAGACATTTCACCGCAACGCACTCAGGATTTGTCTCGGACTGCCACGCTCGTCACATAACGTCTCCACTATAGTCGAGGCAGGTGACTCACCACTAAAAACACAATCACAAGAGAGAACACTACTTCACGCAGCCAGACTGTTCAGAGTACCATCATACGAGACACTCATTGACAGCATACTACTACGCCATCACTCCTACCTTGGTAAGACCATGAAACGCTTCATTGACCACGTCGGCTACCCAGAGAACATCCCTCCCCTCCCCCCTCCACACCGGCAGAACGATCACCTCCACATAACAACAGAGATCATGGACCTCCCACGACGAGGCCACGTCGCCGATATCGTGGCACGCGACATCGCAAATGACGTCATCCAGTCCTATTGCAACATGAAGCACATATATACCGATGGAAGCAGGAAAGACTTATCCACCACAGCTGCTTACATCATACCAGAATCTAATCAATCTTCTACAGCCAAATTGAGCTACTGTACCGACACGACCACAGCAGAACTTGCTGCGATATGGCTCGCGCTCTCCGAGTTAATAAAACTTTCAGAAAATGAAAAAGTGGCTATTTTCACGGACTCGAAAGGAGCCTTACGACAGCTCCAAAACTTGAGAAGGGGAACTCCTTTGGCAAGATCCATTGTTCAACTCGTACACCACATGGCTAAAGAAGGATCAATCATCTACTTTCAGTGGATCCCTTTGCATGTGGGTATACATGGAAATGAAAGAGCAGATGCCCTTGCAAATGAAGCCCACAATAATGTATCCCAAGTAATAGAAATACATCCATACAACAACTATCGACTCATAATCCATAATGAAGCACAAACTAATCACCCCCACCCAGGAACGGCTTCTGGACTACCTCCTCCAACCATTCCTAAAAAGAAATTCCCGAGACCGCAACAATCGTTGCTACATAGACTACGAGTCAACTGTGCAAACACCTACTCTCGTCTACATCTCATGAGACAAGCGTCTAGCCCAAACTGTCCCGCATGTGATGAAAGAGAAGATCTGGACCACATCTTTTGGACATGCCCACAAAACGCCAATTCAAGAAACGTCCTGAAAAAATCTATTGCGAACGGCAGTAACCAGGATACCCGAAGTCTTCTTTTTCCCGCAGGACCACAAGCACTAAGGGTGCAAACATTCAAAGTCATCCTTCTTTTCCTCCAAGAGACTGGCCTCTCAACACGCCTCTAGGCTGTACTGACGGGCGTCAGCCATCCTCCTCCTCTTAACCACTCTTGGTTTCCCTTTCCCCAAGCAGAACGAGACAGCTGACCCCGCTATTGGGAGACTAACCTCTCGTTCCGCATTACCCCCTTTTTCTTTTGCTCAATAAACTCACTCACTCACTCACGTTGTTAGTGAAAAGAACTAGAAAAGGAAATAGTATGGTGATGAAATGGTTGTAATATGCCGTGCCCACATCGAAGAAAACGTCAAGGATGGCTTCTAGGACAACCTCTAGGGTGACGTCAAGCATGACGTCTAGGACAACCTCTAGGGTGACGTCAAGGGCAACATCCAGGACAAGGTCAAGAATGATGTCTAGGACGACCCCTAGGGAGACCACTAAGACAACCTTAAAGACAATGTCAAGGACGGCCTCTAGGATTTCATCCAAGACGACTTTGAGGATGACGCCCTAAAGGACACCATCAAGAATGACCTCTAGAATGACCTCTCGGACTACCTCAAAGACAACCTCTAGGACAACATCAAGGACGACATCAAGGAAATCAGTGTCAGCTACTGACGCTTACGCGACCGGCACTTAGGCGAACAGAGCTTATGCAACCGGCGCTTACGTGACCTTGATTATGCGACCTTGCACTCCAGCCATGGGCATAACGTGACCTTGATTACGCTACCTTGACGACATGACCAAGAGGGCATGACCTTGAGGATGAGGACAATACCTTGAAGATGGTTGGGCCTATAAAGCTGCCGCTTTAAAAGCAAAAGAGACGCCCAAAGGGGTGCATTGTTTTTCAGAACTTTGAGGACGAAGCATACAGGAGGGGCTCACCGCTTAGCCACTTGTGGTCAAAGGTTGGCGTCCGCAGAGAGCGGCCCTTGCCCATGCCGCGGTACAGCGCGTAGTCCCTGGCGGAGAAATCGAGCGGAGCAGCCACGTAGTAGTCCCCCTGCACCGTCATCAGTTCGCTGCTGTTGGAGTGTGGGCTGTATGGAGCATAGCCCACTCCGTCCACCTGCTGAATCACGTTCACCAGGGAATTGATCTGGAACATAATTCGCCAACAGGTCACGTGACACTCTTTGCAACCTAAATAGAATCTCCTCAAAAGTGTGCACCATCTAGATGCTGCTGCGCTAATTATCCGAGCCCATCATTGTTTGGGCACACACTCTGAGAGCATGTGCTGAACACGAGGGTGGCGTCTGCGTTCGGCTTGAACTTGGCTTTTGAAAACAGGGGCTGCGTCAACATCCGGCGAGGACCCCGATCCAATCACACCTTTTGTACCCAGGAAATGGAATGGTGCTCAATGGGATTTTGAAAAGGGTCTATTCTAACCACAACCTGCTCAATAAAGAACAACCAGGCCAACTCTCCTCGCTCTATGGGAGCGCGTGCGGCGCATGCCTAGGAATACCACGTGACCCTGGCTCAGGGACCGAAAAATCCGCGGGGCGCCGCTGAGGTTTATCACCACGTGCAGAGGGCAGGTGGCTGTTGTGAGGTCGCATAGCAGTAAGCGTGTTTCTATTTTTATTTTATCGGTGCTCTCTTATTTTTTTGTTACATTTCTAATAAACTGAATTGAGTGGCAGCATATTTCACTCGGGACTCTATGCAAGTGACGAGTCAGTAGCAGAGTGTTTATCTTCCGCTGTCGGTTCGTGCGAGTAAATTGTGGCTGGCATCGTTCTTTGTGATCATTCTCAAATTGTCTGCACAAGCCAATGGTGAAGTTGCAAGTTCATGCTTTCTTAAAGCAGACACATATGTATTTTAAATGTAAATTGCAGGACTTGCCTTAATTGAATATGCTGTAAATAATAGACAGTCAAAGTAACAAGACATGCGGGCGAGCTGGCGAAGGGCAGTACGAAAGTGACATTTTTTCTTGGGAAGTAAAATGTGGTTGGTAATAAATTAAACGAGGAATCCTGGCACACTCTTCACGAATATTTAGTCATTGTTCAAAAGGTCTCCATTATTATTTACTCATTAACTTTTTATGTCAGAGAACCGATTAATATGTTTAATTTTGAACACGTAACGGAACTTGCCTCGTGTTTGGAAGTTGTGTCGTTGCGTCGTCGGTTGGTTAAGAATTAAATAATAAAAATTTTAGTACACAATTTCTTAAATGTCTGCCAATAATGTGGCAGTACTTTACGTAAATGTCTACATTAAATCTGCTATACTTTGCAAGAAAAAATTTTGAGGCATTATTACTCGGGATAAAAAGACAATGCAAAGTTTCTTAGCAGCTGCTTGGAAGTAGCACTCTTAGCGTGCCTTTCACTCAGAAGTAATTTTATTGCTTCTTTGATTTATGAAGCATTGCGCATAAGAAACACAAACATACCAGGTGTTCAGGAGAAATCAGGGCCATATTTTTTCTGACCGCAAAAATAAACTATGCATCACTGAACGCTCAGTCTCCGCCAAAATATAGCAGGCCCGTGAATACAAGAAGATAAGCGATGTCTGTTAACACAGACAGACCCCATTTTCTCATTCAAATTTCTTCAGCTCGGCGAGATACGCGCTCCATACGGTCACCGGGAACTCGTGCAAGGCTACTCCCGTAGACATCAGAGTGCCCGACTTCAGAGTCGACAAAGCATCATTTTGTTGCAATATAAATTAACAGGACCAAATTCGACGAATGGGAGTTGTAGTTTAATCAGAAAGTATGAGAAAAAAAATACTTTAAGTACAATTACATACTCACATAACATATTTTAAGTAAAGTACAAGTTTTATTAACCTACTTGAAGTAGTACTTTAAGTACAATGTACTTGAAGTACTTCCTAACACTGCTTATGGTGAAGTGCCAGAACTCATGAAAATCCTTATTGTTCCCATTGCTCCCTCCATCAATGAATGTGGAAGAATTAAAATCCTTTTTCAGGACTCTACTGAATTTTTCAAAGCTACTAAACTTCACCATTTCTCTAGTAAACTCTGAAATGCACTTACATCTCTCCACGTACACTTGGGTGCAAATGCATTTGTCCCACAGCTGAACAGTTGGCCATTGTGGGACAGGAGCACCTTGAAGTAGTTTCTGCAGTCCTCCTGTCAATAGAAACAAACAACTTGGTATGATTTCTTCAAAAATGATTTTCATGCCACAATGTTAAGATAATTGCTTACATCATCAAATTATTGTCTTTACATGACCTAAACATCTAGTTACACATAGAAAGTCTAGAAATATTTCTTTGAGCATTAACAAAACTTTGCATCGTCAATGCTGCACATAAAGCAACATTATTTTATTTTTTCGAACATTGCATAAAAGTTTTGTCTTTTCTTTCTAATGCACTGTGAGAGTTGTTCAGGAATACACAAAAAGAATAGTTTGGCTGGCACAGTTAACTTACCTCCGACCGTCCTTTTAATCGACATATCTTGACAGCAGTATTCGGAGCTTGTACGTTTACTTCTTCCAACTTCTTGAACCCTTCTAAACTCAGGCGAAACAAGTGATCCCTGGAAATTCAAACAATAAATGTTGAAGTGCCAACAGTCTCAGGGAAGGAAGTTCATTGCCTCTTTCTATCCAAGTACAAGCAGTGAACTAAGAGACACAGTCCTTAAATTACTTGGCTGAGAAATGCTTGATTGAAACAAACAAATAAAGACTTTAGTCATATACCAGTTGTTCTTGGTGTCTCCCTGTTATTTTTACCTGTTATGCATGTTCCTCGACATATATTTAATTCTACCAATGCTCCAACCACATGCGAAGCTTTGAAGCTTGCTGTGATCTGTCTTATTTCAATTTAAAAAATGGCTACTGGGCTGCTGCTCATACTTGGGAAGTCCAAAGCTTTGCCAGTCCTAAAAAGCTCCCAAAGCCACTAGAAATGTTTTCACAGCGAGAAATTGTGACATACAAAATTTAAGGCTCATTTCTTCTTTTCTCCAAGGGAGTCATGGCCACCTTGAACTGTATACACTTAGAAGTCATGGGAATATTTAAACAGCTCCAAGCTCACAACCTCCCAGAGACTGCCACTATGCATCAGTACAGCATCAGGAACTGACTATATGAAGCTTCTTAGTAGAAGGCTGTAAGCACAATCATTTCAACAGGAAGCCAGGCTAAGCACATTGCCCATGAAAGCAATTTGTTTCCCAGTGAACACAAATAATGATTCTAGCTAGCCATCTATAGCTACTGCGGTATTAGCTCCACATTAGTATTGATGGTTGTAATCAATCAGTCGGGAGGCTATTTAGCTCCCAATGAACAATAAAGAATGCTGTTTTCTGCAAACATTAGTTGAACCTTGGCATACCCTCCTAAATTCAACATTATCCAGATGTCAAGATTAGTTTAATAACAGATATCGTGCAACCTGCAGAAATTCCGATAGTGCTTTTCAAATAGTGTTGAAGCATTTCCGGCAATACACTTCAGCTACTAGCTCGGCTCAACAAAATTTATCTGTGTACATGAAACATTTTGGAGCATATCAGCACACAGTGTGCCAATAATACTCAAGGTTATTATGTAGTTAGAGAAGATACTCTAGAAATAAACACTATCAAAATAAAATAATCTGTAGCATTTTTTATTATTGCACTCTTTTTTGAGTAAGCAAGGCACATAGTTATATAAAGGTGACTCGAGATAAGAGACTCTGCTTAGTCCAGTAAAATAAGCAGCATATGAAAGGTATAAGCGAAAACAAAAGCACTAGCTAGCAGACTCCGAAGGCACCAACCTTACACCATAGCATCTGGAATGACTTAAGAAACATGTTTGACTAACATTAAATCGTAATATCGATAGGCCACCGCAACGCATGGTGCTACGCCATGGAAACATACTCAGAAGTGCCAAACGAAATGCATCTCAAATTGGCCAGATGACGCTTCACCGCTGCACCTCGCAGTCATCGTCGTAGTACATGGCTAGTCCTTCCTCAACCAACATCATATTGAGCCAGGCATCTTCGAGAGAATTAGTATCGCACAGCAGTACGTACAGGATTCCACCCTTACAACCGACGACCGAACACATGAGGACTTTGTCACGCGAAAGTTCGACCAGTCTGTCCGACACGGCGGTGTCCCAGTCGGTCCCGCCGAGAGGGTGGATCATGGCCAGTCTGGCGTTGATGGCCTGGCATGGGAGCTCGTGAAACTTCGGAAGCAGGACGTACAGGTCTTCACAGGGCACAGGCGTCTTCTTGCCGGAGTCGACGTCGAAGACTTCGACGGGGTCGCCCCCGAGCGCGTCCGTCACGATGCCTCGGCGCCACCTTCGGCCGTCGCTCTCTGAAGCAGAGGCGTCGAAAAAAGCGCAAGCACATCCTATCGAAACGTATCTTCCGAGAGCCGTGCGGGCGCGCTGGTCGGAGTAGAAGTCGGCCATGGCACTCACCAAAGAAGACGTCGCTTGGGACGTTTCTGGCGTCTGCATATTGAGCACAATTTCGTGGGGAGTGGCGACGTGCGTTACCGTGACCGGAAAGTAGTCATTGGAAGACAGCTGCGGAAGCAACACGGGCTCTAACAGCGAGAAGCTCTTCTGTTCGATGGGCACCGCTGGAGATCCAGCTGACGGTGACGACTCCTTGAGGAAAAGGACAATCTCGCCGTGAAGGACCCTGAAGAGAAGCAACTCGCTGTGCATCATGCAGACGTCAAGGACATCGGTGCCTCCCAGGGTCTTCCAGCCGGTGTGCCTTCTGAGAAACGCCAGGATTCTGTTGAGTGCGAGTCCGCCTGGTTCCCCTTTCAGCATGCTTTCGAGAACACTGCACAAATCCAAGCTCGAATCAACTTCGGCAGCAGGATGAAGGTCCGTTGAAGAGGGTAGGCTGGCCGCAGAGAGGTCAACCATGCTCCGATTATCCGAACGTTTGGTCATACGGGGAGGGAGCGAGTGACGTCTTCGCTGCTGTTGAGTTGAAAGAGTTTGGTGATTCCGCCCCTTGCAGCATTTGTTCCCGTTTCGCCCACGGCTCATGTGGGCACCCTAGATTTTGGGTTCACGCAGTTCACACTACAGGCAACACAGGCACGCAGGCAAAGCAGGTTCAGGTGTGCGTGTGTCAGCGTCACGACCAACGCTTTACTTACGACTACTGTGCTAACGAACCTAAAGACACTCTCCCTGAGAGCTCCCTAATGAAGAGTGATAAAGAGCGTGCTTGGCGTGCTCGGCGTGCTCGCGACCTCGCGAGCTCCCGGCTGGATGGATGGATGGATGAATACGGCTGAGCCCTTTGGATCGGGCGGTAGCTTACGCCACCTAGCCATTTTGTTTTACCATTTAAGCTTAGAATATTTAAATGTGAAATCTATATTCACTCCGCAGTGCAAAGAAAGTGAGGCTATGAAACCCCCTTGCCATCAGTGATTAAGAAAATACCTAGTTTTCTCTCGATTTCTGCCACCATTCACTTAATCTTTGCTTGGTAATCTCTACAGTCTTGAAATCCACTCTCCCTTCGCTGTCTCTAAAACCCAATGACTTTATTAAATCTATGTTGTCTTCGGTAGGCATAGGGTGAAGCCCTTTACAGTAGAGTATCAAGTGCTCAGCCGTCTCGTCCTCCTCTCCACAAGCAGTGCACACTGTATCAATTTCCTGGTACTTCACTCTGTATGTTCTGGTTCGCAGAACACCCGTTCTTGCCTCAAACAGCAATGAGCTTCCCCTAGAATTGTCATAAATGCTTTCTTTGGCAATAACTCTTTTGTTTAATCTATAGCTTTCCAGAGCAGTCTTTGTCTGCATTCCCTCTAGCCACCGATCTCTTTCTGTGGCCTTAACTTTCTTCTTAACTGAGACTTGCTCTTCCGTACCTTCGCTATAGCCCAAAAACCTTCCTCTTAATTTCCTAGTGCGCTGTCTCCACTTTGTGTCTACACTCCTCATGTATAAATAGCTGAAAACCTTTCGTGCCCATTGCTCCCCATCCATTAGCCTCAACCTATCCTCAAATTCTACCTTGCTCACCGCTTCCCTGCTCTCAAATGATGCCCATCCCATGTCTCCTTGTATTCCCTGGTTTGGCGTTTTGCAATGCGCCCCCAAAGCCAGTCTACCTACTCCGCGCTGTTTTATTTCTAGTTTCGCATGCACTTCGGATTTCATGCATAGCACTGCATTTCCAAAAGTCAAGCCAGGCACCATGACCCCTTTCCAAATCTCTCTCACCACCTCATACCTGTTGTAATTCCAAAGTGCTCTATTTTTCATTACAGCTGCATTTCTGTTGCCCTTACCTATTATATACTTTTCATGGTCTCTGAGATATTCTGCACCATCACATATCCATACTCCTAGATACTTGTATTTACTAGCTCTCTCAACTGTAATATTCTGTATCTTCAGCCTCTCAACTTCATCCTCGTTAAAAATCATGACTGCCGATTTTTCGCTACTGAATTCTAAACCTAATTCCTCTCCTTCCCTACCACAGATGCTCATTAATTCCTGCAACTCCGTCCTGTTGTTAGCCATTAGTACAATATCATCCGCATACATCAATCCCGGTAAGGATTGCTGAATTTTTTGGCCTAGCTTACTGTAAGAAAGGTTGAACCCAAGCCCACTCTTCTCTAGTCTATCCTCCAATCCTCTCAGATACAACATAAACAGCAAAGGCGATAACGGGCACCCCTGCCTAAGGCCTCGTCTTATCTCTATTTTCCCTGTCGCCTTTCCTTCCCATGTTATAATCACCTTGTTATCTTTGTAAATGTTCCTTAATAGTGCTGTTAGTCCTTCATCTAGGTTTAAGTTCTCCATTATGTCCCACAGGTTTCTTTGGTTCACATTGTCATAGGCACCCTTGATATCCAGAAATGCCAGCCAGAGCTGTCTGTTTTCTTTTTGCGCTATTTCTATACACTGTGTTAGAGAAAATAGGTTGTCCTCCAACCTTCTTTGTTTTCGAAACCCGTTCTGTAACTCGCCCAGTATGCCCTCGCAATCTACCCATTCCTCCAGTCTGTTCTTTATAATCTGCATTACCAACCTGTAAATAACCGGTGTCACGGTTATACACCAACTCATGTTTACAAACAAACCGGAGCGCGCGGAGCACCCCTAGCGGACGCCTCCGGCGCCGCGCATGCGCGATGGGGGTGTGGGCAAAAAGCTCGCCGTCGCCCATAAACAAACCATTGAAATGCGATGTTGTCGGCTACGGTGTGAGTCCCCGCGCTCTTTTTTGCGTCGGAATTGTTGATTCTACGTCCTCCTAACGATGTCTGACTACTTGAGCAGCGTCAGCGAAATTAACGAGGCTCGTTACACCGCAAAACTTCGCGTGAATAATCTGATATGCAGCGATTCATTCCGCGTGGACGCCGCAGAACGTACGCTAAAGCCTGATTCACATGATGAGATTTCGCTCGCAATATTCACTCACGACGTCGCTCGGGCTGCAAAAGCGTGAACCGTAGCTGAGATGGTCGACGTCGATACTGAAAATCGCAAGCAGAATCTAACCAAGTGAATCAGGCATAACAAGTCGGTGATGGCCACTGGTAACAATGATCAACATCTCCTTGTATCTACTGTTTACGTCGAGCCTGCTTACCAACCTTCAAACTTAAGTCTTTTAAGGCCTGCACTTAATTCTTATCGCAAGTACCGGGCCCACGTTTGGTCTACGGGCCGGTGTCCTCTAAAAGAGCAGACGACAAGCAGAAACGTTTGAAAGAGCAGACGACAGTTCGAACGATCAGGCGACCGTTTGAACTTGAAGACGCACTAAACGTAGTCCGCAGGTGGTCCGTACAACTTGACGGTTTTCCGGCGTTCATTTTCGAACCAAACAAATAAATTTGATGGCCAGTAGTATCCGTGAATTTAACCCAAAATGCTTCCCGCCCAAGCAATCGTTGTCCGACGGCGTCTGGTTTTCCCTTTTCACGGCACATATCCGCGTTCTCGGACGAACCGAGCGCATGAAAACTGACCTTCAAACCTTTCTCGACTCTCTTGGTACAGCCCCAGTCGCAGCGTTTTGACGACAAGGCAGGTTTTTGTCTGGTTCCTTTCAAAACAACGCAGGAATACACGTCTGGCATGGGGACTTCTGCCCACAGCCCCAGACCGGAAGTGCGTCCGACGCGCCACCACCGCGCCGTGACGTAACAGAGATGAGTTGGTGTATAGGACGATAATTCCTAATATCAGACTTATCTCCCTTTCCCTTATATATCATACTCATCCTACTAAGCCTCCATTCATCCGAGTTTGAGCGCCACCTAGCGAGAGGCGTTCTCACTAGGCGGCACAAAAACTCGGTACTCCTACCTTGTCGGGAAGACCTTTTCATTTTAGTAGTTGCCTCACCGGCGGATAGAGGGCGCTGACGCACTCGGCGCCATTAGGTTGCTTCAATTTGGTTGGTTTCGGTTTCAACGTGAACGCGGCTACGTTGCTGTTTTACGTTGTTTTGCTTAATTTTGTGATATGAATATTTTCCTTATAGCACAGACCAAATGAAACAGTAGTATTGAGACACTTTGATGACTCCGAGGTGTATTTTAGTTTAAATTGCGAACTTTTTTTGACGAGCTCCTTTGATGTATCTCATTATGGTCAGTTGTGAAACGCCTGACTGGTGTACAGGGGACATTACCATCGTCTGCGGCAGTACCCGAAGACATCAGTGTCCAGAAAAACAAACTAACGAAGAGACTAACACGTGAATGTAAAGAACCATATCGACAGCTTGATTAGCAATGTGCTGAATAGGCCAGTACAGATGAACTCGAGAATTTACTACTCACTGTTTTTTTTTTGTTTTTTTTTCCGTGGGCACCCAACCTTTAGTTAACTTCACAGGCTAAAACGTATAGTGTAATGACGCAGATAATTGACATAAACAAGCAGTATCGTCTCGACTTCTTTTTTTTTAATTTTTATTCAGTACTTGAGCACGTTTTGAGAACCCGAGTAGGAAATCTCTTAAATTATCAATCATGTTAAAGTATTCATAAGCAGAATTTCGCGATATTGGACCTACGAAATAAATTATTCTATATAAACATTTGCTTACTCAAAATATGATATAAGTGACAGGCCCATCAAATTAAGTCTAGCATTTGTCTTCCGTAAAATTGGCCATATAAAATTAAAGGGCGCAAGAGGAGAAATACCTCGGAAAGTTTGGGTGAATTCTAGCTCTAGGCACCGCTTCACGGACCTGTGTGAACAAATATTTATTTGTTTGAACAGATTCGCTTTGTAAATTTCGGCGTCGCCAGCCACCAAAAGTCAACCCCTATTCACCATCGACAATCCTGGACTCAAGTAATTGTTATGCAGGCGGCTATTTTTTCGGCGTCAAATATTCCGATTTTAGATACTGCCAAAAATTAAAACAGCATTTGCAAAAAAAAAAAAAAAAAAGAAGAACGCTCGTCATTATTGCGCATGCGCCGCACCCAAACCGCATTTTGGATTTGCAAATAGAAACGACGTTATTTTTTTGTGCACGCTATTCTAAAATTAGCTACTGTTAAGTGTCTGTGGCAGTTTCTTACACCAAAAGTCCCAACCTTTGTGTTAAAATAAACTAAGTGGATGGCACTGGCTATATCTAATCAATAAATCACTTAAATTACTGTCGAAATGGCAGCGAGCACGGTAACAATTTCTTAAACTTCATAAGTAACCAACCAATCAAATGTTTACGTCGCAAAAGAAAGATTGAGAACCTCATACACATGTAGGTATGATATTGTGAACAAACAAATCGCTTGATTTGACGTGCCATTACTTCCCTCAAATAAAATACAAGTTGAACGTTCGTTGTCTATCTACTCCGCGAGTTTCCTCACATAATCAAAAGAATGTGTTTTCGATATATTATGAATACAAAGAACGAAACGATACTTTCAGGAAATAAAGATAGTCTTCCTTGCGCTTGACGTCTTACGACCCTAAATATACACGATTCTTATTGCGAATGTTCCGCCACTATTAGCAAGGAAACCTGAGTTGTCATAAGGACCTTTGAACCCTCGTGATGTGTTAGTGGTCGAGTAGACATATCGGACAATATTTTCCGACGTAAAGCAAGAAAGCGCGGTGAAACGCGACGCACAAATACAACGCATCCGCCAAGGCGCGAAGGGGAGAGCGGAACAACAAGTTGAAGCAACCTAATGGCTGCTGCGTCA